GCGTATTATACATGAATATATAAGTCTTGTGTACATTGATCAATCAGAAGGGGTGCTAATTGGGATTATTAACTAGCCAACGTATTAGCAAATATCGCCGTGGGCGCTTATTACGTTGAATACGGTAATCCAATCCAACTTATTCAAAATGTAGAATAACATATTCCATAATGGAGAAATAATCTGTTGATTCTAAGTCCTGAACAAGTAGTTTTGATCTCTGGTCAACCGTGACGATTCCGGGGTAGAATAGGTCTTTAGCAGCCCATGCTTACCGTAAAAGGCGACTATGCTTGTCGTAAGAGGTAACTAAAGATCTCAGGTGGTCAGGCTCGCTGACTTGGTTGATGAATGTCTTCGATCCCAATTGCGTGGATCGATGTTCATTATGTCAATCACTTGATTGTCTGGTCGAGACTCGATTATTTACAGACCGCCGTCATATAGCTGGAATATTGCTGAGCGCAGCTTTAAACAACAAACAAACAAACAAAACAAATCTGACTTTGGTTGTTTGATAATTTCCCTAAACAGTAAACTATGTTTATAATGAACACGCTGTTAGCGAACTGACAGATATAACAAACCGGTGTTTTGGCCTTAGCCATTTGCTGTATATATCCTGTATATATGCCTAACGAACTACGATTATAACGAACTAAAATTAAAATATAAAGTTTACAGATTGGCGTAGAAGTTTGTTAGCATTGCTTAGTCGAGCGTGATGCTTTATACGGTGAATATTTATTTTAAATCAATACTGTAAATCTTGAAATTAACGCAAGCGTGAATTAAATACAAAAAATGCGAGTGGTCTTTGCTCGCATTTTTAAACATCGCATTTATATCAACATTAAGACATTTTGGATAGCAAAAATACCAATACGCTGATGTATTCAACACCACTGTTTATTGTGCAGCACGTGTATATAAAGTATATAAACAATGTCATTCAAACACTAATTACGTCCTGTGAATTGTCACTGCTGGGGTCAAGACTTGAGTTCTACTCACTTATGTCATCACTGATCACACCTGCAAGTCCAGACAGACGCCACCCATACAACACGGTGTCTTTGTTCTTTGCGACTGCGTCAAAGCCCGACACAAGCCAGCGCGCATGTATTGTTTTAGCGGAAGTACTCTACTCAGCGCTAATAAGCGGTGCTATTTGGTGTGTGATTGGATTAATGTAAGGTTGGATTAAGGTGAGGATTCTAAACCTGACTGAGGACATCTTTTGATAGAAATCCACTGATGCTTGAGAGGAGGGGGGGTCGCATTCATATTGCGTTGCATTTTTGGGTAGGGTCCGGTGGTCGCATTCTTTTGGAGACACATTAATTTCATGATTTACAATATATCTTCAACCTGAAACACAGGCCTCAAAGTTGCAACTAAAACGGACACCAATGCGACCTAAATTTCAATTTGTCTACTGTCTAAAATTCAGAAGTAGCCAAATGACTACTTGGAAATATCTTGTGGCGACTAATTTCTATTGCTACACATATGTAGACACATATAAACATGTCTGCTGCTAATTGTACTCGCAAATAATTCCTCTTAAAGTCAACAATGAACCGAAATACATAAATATTAATTTAATTTTATTTTAGTTGATAATTTATTGGATAAGCAAGGATATACCTATATAATCTTTTAACATAAATTGCATAAATTGTTTGAGTCACAAGTAACAAAACTCAAGTACAGTTTCCACTAATATACAATAATAGTTATTTGATCAAAGATAATTTCAAACGCTTTTGGCTACCTACAATTAACTTAACTTCTTAATTTTACCACTGGCTACCTGGAAAAAAATACTTGTAGCCATACGGCTACTTGGTAAAAATTGAAACTTTGAGGCCTGAAACAGTATATATTTTTAATGAAGTCAGCTTCTAATATGTCACTAAAAGTCACTAAATACTTAATGCTGGGGCTTTTGTAAAACCATAAACTATTGATCTGGCCTTTTGGAGTATGTACAAAACATGTTTAGATTTGTGTATGCATCACACGTACGACTTTTTGTCCTCAAGATTGAATCCACATGATCCAGCTGCTGTGTCCTGTACAGAGGAACGAGCGAGTATGTTCTTGTATGTGTGGGACCCTTGAAGATCCGGGGTAGAACAGGTCTTCAGCAACCCATGCTTGCCGTAAAACTATGCTTGTTGTAAGAGGCGACTATGTTCGTCGTAGGAGACAACTAACGGGATCGGGTGGTCAGGCTCGCTAATGCATGTCATCGATCCCAATTGCGGTGATCGATTCTCATGATGTAAGTCACTGGATTGTCTGGTCCAGACTTGATTATTTACAGACTGCCGTCATATAGCTGGAATATTGCTGAGTGCGGCGTTAAACAACGAACAAACATGATAAACCTAGGTTGCAGGGACCTATATTCATCCCATGTATTAAGTATGGAGTATTAAGCAGGTGGTGGTGTTACTTGCAGTTAGCCATGCACCACACTTCTACTGAGTTGAGGGGCGGTCGGGTAGCCTAGTGGTTAAAGCGTTCGCTCGTCTCGCCGAAGACTCGTGTTCGATTCCCAACATTGGTACAATGTGTGAAGCCCATTTCTGGTGTCCCCCGCCGTGATATTGCTGGAATATTGCTAAAAGCGGCGTAAAACCACACTCACTCACTCTACCGAGTTGAAATCAATATGTGATGAAAGATAGCCAAGCACATCAAAGTGTCAAAGGTCAAGGTCACATTTGAGTTGATGTTAAAAGTTGTATGTGTGTGTGAACTGTGCCTGATGTCTTTGTTTCTTAGTGGTATAACGATACAGCGACACAGTATTGTATCCCGATATGAAGTCTGGTTTCCAATACATCGATTTACAAGTCCTGTATTACATTACAAGCTATATTGTGTAAAATATATGTGGTTTACTCAGATTCTCTAGCATTTCCCTGTTGGCTATGTATTGGAGAAAACACGCTCACGAGGTTTTGGTAGACAGAGCATGCCCTGGGGAGAGGGAAAAACAAAGGGGGCGAAGCCCCCGCGGTTTTTCCCGACCCCCAGGGCATGCTCTGTCTACCAAAACCGAGGGAAAGTGTTTTTCCATGCTTATAAACCGAAAAAAGAAACTTAAAACAACGTTTATCAACATTTTTATGTTTCGAACATACTTTCCATGAACCTTAGGAAACGCGCGTAAAATATCTGTTGCTGGCGTATGGATCTTGAAAAGGACATTCTAAAAACCAGTGAGGCTTATCAACACCTCTGTAGCCTCGTGGTACAATCACTGGGCTACAGATATGAAGGTTGCGAGTTCGATCCTCGGGAATATAAAGAAAACATTTGATTTTACATTTCATTACATGATACAATCTGAACGGAAGTTATATTAATAAAATACCCAGGACATTACAACGTCCCTGTTAAGGAGATTTAACCCGACTGGAAAGTAAAACCTCACATTAGGTCTTAATGCCTATAGAAAAGAGTCTCTTACTTAATAGCGATCCCAATGAATAGGTTTATAAGTGTAGGAGAAACCATTTCTACGAGGGATTACCTAAACCCTGACATGAGGTGACACCGGATGTCAGGGTTTACAATCGCTGGTAATCCCGAGGAGAAATGGTTTGTTTAACTAATAAGCCGACTCATCGCATAGACAACTTTTTAAATAAAATACTACTATAAAAACTCTCAAATGTATAACCTGTATCGGAGATGATATCGCCTGCAGTTGTGAACTCAGTTCAATGAAACCGGTGACCTCAGAACGTGGGTTTCGCATCGGTGCGAAATCTGCACGTGCGTCTCGCAATGGCACGAAATCTGCACGTGCATCTCGTAGGCTGTTCGTAGTTTTTGTTCTATCAAGGGTTTACAAGGATTGTAAGCCCTCCTACAAGGTGTTACCACAATTTCAAAAACTCCATATCAAGTTACACAAACAGCCAGTAGGTTTATAAAAGTGGCACATTCACAGTGACCTCGAGCCTATATGTTGCTGCCCTCAATATCCCATCTTCCATCTCTGGAATCTCTGAGTCAGGGTTGTGATTTACTTGCTTAAAGAAAGAATATCAATCAAGTAAAAGTACTGTATCCAGACACGATTCATAGTATCATGACACATATTACGCCTCTAGCGTTTCAGGAATGACTAGGGGCGGTCGGGTAGCCTAGTGGTTTAAGCGTTCGCTCGTCACGCCAAAGACCCAGGTTCGATTCCCAACATGGGTACAATGTGTGAAGCCCATTTCTGGTGTCCCCTGCTGTGATATTGCTGGAATATTGCTAAAAGCGGCGTAAAACCATACTCACTCACTCTGGTATCCCCCGATGTGATATTGCTGGAATATTGCTAAAAGCAGTGTTAACCCATACTCTCTCATTCTGGTGTCCCCCTCTGTGATAATGCTGGAATAGTGCTAAAAGTGGCGTAAAACCATACTCTCTCACTCTGGTATCCCCCATTGTGATATTGCTGGAATATTGCTAAAAGCGGCATAAAACCATACTCTCTCACTCTGGTATCCCCCGCTGTGATATTGCTGGATTATTGCTAAAAACAGCGTAAAACCATACTCTCTCACTCTGGTATCCCCCGCCGTGATATTGCTGGAATATTGCTGAAAGCAGCGTAAAACCATACTCACTCACTCTGGTGTCCCCGTCGTGATGTTGCTGGAATATTGCTAAAAGCGGCGTAAAACCATTCTCACTCACTCTGGTGTCCCCCGCCGTGATATTGCTGGAATATTGCTAAAAGCAGCGTAAAAGCAGCATTCTGTGATATTGCTGGAATATTACTAAAAGCAGCGTAAAATTATACTCATTCATTCTGGTGTCCCCCGCAGTGATATTGCTGGAATATTGCTAAAAGCAGCGTAAAAGCAGCGTTCTGTGATATTGCTGGAATATTGCTAAAAGCAGCGTAAAACCATGCTCACTCACACTCACGCAGGAATGACTAATACAAGTAGACTCACAGTCTAATATCTGTGTTTCAGGAACAGCTGATGCTGATGATATGGAAGAGACTGATAAGGACCCACAGGATTTGTTGCTGGAGCTAGGGCTGATGGTGCTGGAGGCTCGGACCCCGGACCCGTCGGCCAAGGGCAGGATAGATGGCCCCCACTGCCCCCAGTCCTGGCGAGCTCAGGCTCATGCGTGTAGTGATGATCAGTTGGAGGTAGGTCCGGTCAGAGCTTGCGTCCCTGGTGATGTGACCCGTGAAGATTCCGGGGTAGAATAGGTCTTCAGCAACCCATACTTGTCGTAAAAGACGTCTAACGGGATCGGGTGGTCAGGCTCGCTCCGAATTGCTTAGATCGATGCTCATGATGTCAATCACTGGATTGTATGGTCCAGACTTGATTATTTTACAGACCGCCGTCATATAGCTGGAATATTGTTGAGTGCGGCGTTAAACAACAAACAAAGAAAACAAACAAAAAAAACAACCAAATTTCCCAACCCCCTATTACCTGACCCTACCCGGGTACCCACCCCCCTATTACCTGACCCTACCAGGGTACCCCCACCCCCCTATTACCTGACCCTACCCGCCCCCTATTACCTGACCCTACCCGGGTACCCACCAACCTATTACCGACCCCCCTATTACCCGACACTACCCGGGTACCCACAGACCTAGCCTCCACCCACCAGCCCTTAGCCCAGCCCCAAACCCCCAGCCCAGACCTAGCCTCCAACCACCAGCCCTCAGCCCAGCCCCAAACCCCCAGCCAAGACCTAGCCTCCAACCACCAGCCCTCAGGCCAGCCCCAAACCCCCAGCCCAGACCTAGCCTCCATCCACCAGCCCTTAGCCCAGCCCCAAACCCCCAGCCCAGACCTAGCCTCCAACCACCAGCCCTCAGCCCAGCCCCAAACCCCCAGCCAAGACCTAGCCTCCAACCACCAGCCCTCAGGCCAGCCCCAACCCCCAGCCCAACCCTAGCCTCCAACCACCAGCCCCACCCCAGCCCCAACCCCCAGCCCCAACCCCCAGCCCAGACCTAGCCTCCAACCACCAGCCCAGACCTAGCCTCCAACCACCAGCCCCACCCCAGCCCCAACCCCCAGCCCTAACCCCCAGCCCAGCCCTAGCCTCCAACCACCAGCCCCACCCCAGCCCCAACCCCCAGCCCCAACCCCCAGCCCAGCCCTAGCCTCCAACCACCAGCCCAGACCTAGCCTCCAACCACCAGCCCAGACCTAGCCCCCAACCACCAGCCCTCAGCCCCCAGCCACCAGCCCTCAGCCTCCAGCCCCACCTCCAGTTTATTACATAGTTGGACTCAAAGGGCAAAAGGAGCAGTGTACACAGAAATGACTGGTCCTTCCGGAAATGTACTAGTCTATGTTTAGGGGACATAAGTTCATTATTAACACTATTGTGTGTGCAGTGCCGGCGTGCGTGTGAGCTGGAGGAACAGCTGGACCTCCTGTGGAGGAACAACATCCCCGCCTGTATCGACATCCTTCTCTACCCCGACTGTGTGCACGGCCACAGGGAGGCACAGGTGCTGGAGGTCGCCGATCACACAGGCCAGGCCATGGATGACTACCTGCTGCTCGAGAGGTGGACCTTCAAGTTCTGCAAAAAGAGGTGAGTTCAGGAGCGGAGGCTGTGCTTCAAGGGGTGGACTTGTGTGAAGGGGTGGACTAGTGTCAAGGGGTGTACGTGGTTCAAAGGGTGGACTTGTGTCAAGGGGTGGACATGGTTCAAAGGGTGGACTTGAGTCAAGGGGCGTATGTGGTTCAAGGGGTGGGTGTGTCAAGGGGTGGACTTGTGTCAAGGGGTGTACATGGTTTTAGGGGTGGACTTGTGTCAAGGGGTGTATGTGGTTCAAAGGGTGGACTTGTGTCAAGGGGTGGACATGGTTCAAAGGGTGGACTTGAGTCAAGGGGTGGACTTGTGTCAAAGGGTGGACTTGTGTCAAGGGGTGTACATGGTTCAAGGGGTGGACTTGTGTCAAGGGGTGTACATGGTTCAAGGGGACGACTTATCTCAAGGGGTGGACTTGGGTCAAGGGTCGGACTTGTGTGAAGGGGTGGACTTGTGTCAAAGGGTGGACTTGTGTCAAAGGGTGGACTTGTGTCAAGGGGTGGACTTGTGTCAAGGGGCGTACGTGGTTCAAGGGGTAGACTTGTGTCATGGGTAGGACTTGTGTCAAGGGGAGGACTTGTGTCAAGGGGTGGACTTGTGTCAAGGGGAGGACTTGTGTCAAGGGGTGGACTTGTGTCAAGGGGTGGACTTGTGTCAAGGGGCGTACGTGGTTCAAGGGGTAGACTTGTGTCATGGGTAGGACTTGTGTCAAGGGGAGGACTTGTGTCAAGGGGAGGACTTGTGTCAAGGGTCGGACTTGTGTCAAGGGGTGGACTTGTGTCAAGGGGTGGACTTGTGTCAAGGGGTGGACCTGTGTCAAGGTGTGGACCTGTGTCAAGGGGTGGACTTGTGTCAAAGGGACGACTTATCTCAAGGGGAGGAGTATATTCATCTTTGTTCTCATCCATCACGTTGTTGTGTTTTCAGACATATGGACATGGTGAGCGGGCGCAGCGTGGGGCCGTCCATGCTGCTGCAGGCTGTCAAGTCTTACCTCCACTTCTCCCAGCTCAGCTCCTGGCTGTTGTCTTCAGAGGGGAAACTACCCCTCACCATTGTCTACAGGTAACCATGACGACTACTGCCAGGCACTAAGACACTACCGTTTATCTATATGTATCAGTTTATCTAATATAGGAACCAAGGTAACTACTGTACTTTTGGCCAGTGGGGAAGGCTAGTGGTTAAGGCATTTGCCCATCAGGTTCTATTCCCACACAGGCACAAATACGATTCCCATGTCCGTATGATATTTGGGAATTCGGTGGAAAGCCTACTTATTAAAGAGAAGATGTTTTAATGCTTATTTTTACATAATGGCATTGAATGCAATTTCAAAATACAATTTCTTCTTTGAGAGGCATTTAGAAGTTGGAGTACTAAGTAAGGATAAGATTTATGGATAAACAACTTTTATATTACAATTAGGAAAACGTTTCGGTGTAGGGGGCCAGGTGGCCCAGTCGTCTAAGGCGCCGCGATTCGCTGTGCAGAGTTGCGTCCCTTGGGCACGCCAGAAACTTATGATTGTGGGTTTGAATCCCGGTTTGCCCCGATTATGTTTCTAGGTTTGTCAGCAAACCATGGGTTTCGACGAAGTGGTAAACGTCCAAGACCTGCATCACTTGGGGCTTTCCTCCCACATTAAGCTGACACGCCGCGATATAACTGGAATACTGTTAAAAGCCGCGATTCGCTGTGCAGAGTTGCGTCCCTTGGGCACGCCAGAAACTTATGATTGTGGGTTCGAATCCCGGTTTGCCCCGAATTTGTTTCTAGGTTTGTCAGCAAACCGTGGGTTTCGACAAAGTGGTAAACATCCAAGACCTGCATCACTTGGGGCTTTCCTCCCACATTAAGCTGACACGCCGCGATATAACTGGAATACTGTTAAAAGCGGCGTTAAACCCTCACTCACTCACTCCTGTGGGTACCCAGGTTGTACTCAGTACCCATCCGCCCCGGGTACCCGAGTTACCCGTCCCAGCCCTTGTCGATGTACCCTCTATGTTAGTTTATGTTACCCCTCTGAGCTCGGGGCCGCCTCCGTGGTCTTGTGGTAGAGCGTCCGCCCGGAGAGTGGAATGTCCGGGGTTCGATCCCCGGCCGCGTCATACCAAAAGACGTTAAAAGATGGTACTTGTTGTTACCCTGTCTGGCGCTTGACATTAAGGGGCTAAAACAAGGACTGGTGGGCTCAGAGTCAGTATACTGTGTCTGAGTGGAGTATTCATGTTAAACTGCGGCATGGTATCTCAGTGAGCTAGCACTATAAATCGGCATCAGTCCGGACTAGTACAAGCAGCCACACACACACGTGCATGCACGTCGCTATATAAGTGCAATAATCCTGGACGCGACGTTAAACCCAATTTCACCTCACCTCTGAGCTCGGGGAAGATAAACAAAAAGATAGGGTACATCAACCTATGTCTCCTGAAAGACCAATGGACGACTTACCATAATCGACGTAATAAGCGCCCAGGGTGCTCTCAAAATTAGAAATAGGGGGCTCTTAATAGAATGTTATTTCGGTGAAAAAAAAAGAAAGTTGAAAGATAAATTTCGTGGTTTATGCTGACAGCCTGAAATGTTTATATACGACAGATATATTTTTCCAGAATTTAATTGCGTATTATATGCGAATAAATAAGTCTTTTGTACATTGATCAAATCGGAAGGGGTGCTAATTGGGATTGTTCACCAGCAAATATATTAGTAAATATCGCCGTGGGCGCTTATTAGAGCAGGGCGGTTATTACGTCTAATACGGTATATTGTTTTAAGTAGTCTGTGTTAAACAATGTTTCTTCGTTACAGGTCCTATGCACCAGGCGAGAGCATTGGACACGACTTTTGTGAAAAACCTGACAAGCACAGCTTTCCCCAGGTTGACCTTGAGCACTATGAGTTCAAAGTTCAAGTATCGGCCACCCCGCGTCGAGATCTGGTACACCTGCAGTGTCGACTCCCTGTAGAGGGACCAACAACCTCATCACCCTCAACCTCATCACCCACAACCTCATCACCCACAACCTCATCATCCACAACCTCTTCACCAACGTCCACGATGAAGGTCATCGGTGATGGACAAAAATGTTCACGGAAAAACCCACCGACAGACGACAAGCACGGTGAGAGAGGACGCACGCTGAAACGTACGCGACATCACCAGAGTGAAATGTCACGACGACGTGAACACAGACGTTACCCTCAAGGCAACCAAATCCTTGAGAAATCCACCAGTTCCAACTCCTCCATGATCCAAAGTCCGACGATCTCAGGAATCCCGTCTTCCACACCCTGTGATACTCGGAACTGTCAGTGGGACTCCCACGCAGAGAGACGAAGTTTTCACAATTACCGTCAACCCAGTTCCAGCACTTTCACGACAGTCACACCTAGACATTCAACCCCAACAGACAGTAAAACGTACCACGTGGACTCCAAATCACACGGAATTCCACCAGAACAGTCCGATTTTAGAGAATCCTATCCCCAGAAATTCCGAATCGAATCCCCTTCTAGACAAATATTTAAAGACAAATTGCTTCCTTTGAAGCCTGACACGTACAGTGACTCTCATCTGAAGGTGGACACGTCCCCAGCGGGCTCCAACTGTCTACACAGCCCCAAGGTGCTCATGACGTCGAACACAAAACCCGAGCAGGTGTACACCAAGAGGAAGTGTCTTGACCTCAGTGGCTCCTCCTCATCCTCCGACTCCACGGAGTGGAACAGTCAGTTCCTGTCCACAAAGATCAAAGACTTGGCCAGCCCTCTCTCAACAGCAGACATACAGTCCTATCTTGCCAGTCTTCAGTCGGTCGCTTACACCAGGCCGCAGACTCAAGAATGTTCTGGTTTTGACATGTGCGTCACGCCAAAGTGTAAGTTCTACCTCGGGACCCGGGACAAAGCTGTTGACAATGGCCTCAAGTCCGAGGACAAAAAATACCCCAAAGTTCCACAACCGCTATTTAACTCTGTTCTTTCCCGCACTGAGTTAAGCAATATTGAGCCAGATTCGACTTCCAGAAGGTGGAAAACTCAAACAGATGATCTCGATAACGTTACCATGAGGTTGCAAGGGTTGTCTCCCTTCACTGCCTCCGAATCTCCACCGACGAAGAAGGAGAAGAGGGACCTGAGGATGCCCTGTGTTACAAAAGCTGAGAATGTTGACAGTAGCAAGACATGTAAAGATGTTGATCGGAAGACAGTGCGACCGGATTCTCCGGGGAAGTCCTTTAAGAGGAAGTACCCGGAGGAGTCGGGTACGAGTAATCACCGGAAATATTCAAATTTGGATGATTCTGGTGTGGTGTCACATGACCTGGATGTGTCCAATGGACATAGTGTAACTTCAACGTGTGATTCTCGTAATGTGTTTTCCCCCTCACATAATTCTGTGACACCACCAGAGGGAGCTGCAGTCAGTGTCAGCCAATCGGAACACTCGCTATGCAATAACTGTGATATACCTATAAGTGAGGTAAGTTGCCATTGTCATATATGCAGAGATTCGTCTTCTTAGAGGAAGAAGGGGCACGGGGGCCCAGTCGTCTAAGGAGCCGCAATTCGCTGTGCAGAGTTGTGTCCCTTGGCCACGCCAGAAACCTATGATTGTGGGTTCGAATCCCGGTTCGCCCCGATTATGTTTCTAGTTTTGTCAGCACCATACCCGTGCTCGTGGGTTTGACCGAAGTTGTAAACGTCTGAGACCCGCATCACTTCGGGCTTTCCTCCTACATTAAGCTGACATGCCGTGATATGACTGGAATACCGTTAAAAGCGGCGTTAAACCCAACTCACTCACTCACTTATGTTTTTGCTATACGAAGCAGTGATTTTGCAAGAAGCAAATGGTATTAGCACATTTTCATGATTGTTTAATCATTTTATGGCATTCATTACCAAATTTGAAAAAAAAAATCTTTTCGTTATTTTTGGAGACAATCAGTCAATGAAAAGGAACGGATTTGAAATTTGGCAAAGGGATTGAGATTTTCATTGAGGGTGGGGTTGGCCTAGTGGTAAAAGCATTGGCTTGTCACACCAAAGACCCGGGTTTGATTCCCACATTGGTACAATGTGTGAAGCCTGTCCTTGAGACTTCCTCGGCGATGTGACACTATTGCTACAAGCATGGTAAAGCTGCATACTGTGGAGTATTTGAATATGACTATTTGTAATGTCGGAGAAGGAAATTAGCTTGTACATTTGCTATGGTTCTTGTAGAAATTGAGTTTGACTGAAATGTTTAACAGAGACTCTCCCATCTGAGGAAGATCCCGACCACGCCCACCTTGGAGGATGCAATGAGCTTCCAACGTCACATGACCAAAAGTGCCTCCATGATGTTTAGCAGTCGTACAGGCCTTCCCACACAGTCTAGTCCGGTGAGTGTCTTCCCACAGTCTAGTGTCTTCCCACAGTGTAGTGTCTTCCCACAGTCTAGTCCGGTGAGTGTCTTCCCACAGACTAGTATCTTCCCACACAGTCTAGTCCGGTGGGTGTCTTCCCACAGTCTAGTGTCTTCCCACAGTCTAGTGTCTTCCCACAGTCTAGTCCGGTGAGTGTCTTCCCACAGTCTAGTGTCTTCCCACAGTCTAGTGTCTTCCCACAGTCTAGTCTGGTGAGTGTCTTCCCACAGTCTAGTGTCTTCCCACAGTCTAGTGTCTTCCCACAGTCGGTGAGTATCTTCCCACACAGTCTAGTGCCTTCCCACACAGTCCAGTCCGGTGAGTGTCTTCCCACAGTCTAGTGCCTTCCCACACAATAGTCCGGTGGGTGTCATCTCTGCACTGATGTGACTGTCTGTCTGTGTGTTTGGTACTCTGCCCCAGATGTGACTGTCTGTCTGTGTGTTTGGTACTCTGCCCCAGATTTGACTGTCTGTCTGTGTGTTTGGTTGTTTGGTAATCTGCCCCAGATGTGACTGTCTGTCTGTGAGCTTGGTACTCTGCCCCAGATGTGACTGTCTGTCTGTGTGTTTGGTACTCTGCCCCAGATGTGACTGTCTGCCTGTGAGCTTGGTACTCTGCCCCAGATGTGACTGTCTGTCTGTGTGTTTGGTTCTCTGCCCCAGATGTGACTGTCTGTCTGTGTGTTTGGTACTCTGCCCCAGATGTGACTGTCTGTCTGTTTGCTTGGTACTCTGCCCCAGATGTGCCTGTCTGTCTGTGTGTTTGGTACTCTGCCCCAGATGTGACTGTCTGTCTGTGTGTTTGGTTCTCTGCCCCAGATGTGACTGTCTGTCTGTGTGTTTGGTACTCTGCCCCAGATGTGACTGTCTGTCTGTGTGTTTGGTTCTCTGCCCCAGATGTGACTGTCTGTCTGTTTGCTTGGTACTCTGCCCCAGATGTGACTGTCTGTCTGTGTGTTTGGTACTCTGCCCTAGATTTGACTGTCTGTCTGTGTGTTTGGTTGTTTGGTAATCTGCCCCAGATGTGACTGTCTGTCTGTGAGCTTGGTACTCTGCCCCAGATGTGACTGTCTGTCTGTGTGTTTGGTTGTTTGGTTCTCTGCCCCAGATGTGACTCTCTATCTGTGTGTTTGGTTCTCTGCCCCAGATGTGACTGTCTGTCTGTGTGTTTGGTTCTCTGCCCCATATGTGACTGTCTGTCTGTGTGTTTGGTTGTTTGGTTCTCTGCCCCAGATGTGTCTGTCTGTCTGTGTGTTTGGTTGTTTGGTTCTCTGCCCCAGATGTGACTGTCTGTCTGTGTGTTTGGTTCTCTGCCCCAGATGTGACTGTCTGTCTCTGTGTTTGGGTACTTGGCCCCAGATGTGACTGTCTGTCTGTGTGTTTGGTTGTTTGGTTCTCTGCCCCAATTGGACTGTCTGTCTGTGTGTTTGGTTGTTTGGTTCTCTGCCCCAGATGTGACTGTCTATCTGTGTGTTTGGTTCTCTGCCCCAGATGTGACTGTCTGTCTGTGTGTTTGGTTCTCTGCCCCAGATGTGACTGTCTGTCTGTGTGTTTGGTTCTCTGCCCCAGATGTGACTGTCTCTCTGTGTGTTTCAGGCTCCCATCAAGAGGAAATCCCTGGGCAGGTTTGACTACGATAGCTCCCTCACAAGCACCAGAGCCATCAAGAAGTGAGCCTTGTCCATCTACAGAATCATATTCCGTATTCGACGTAATAAGCGCCCAGGGCGCTCTCAAAATTAGACATAGGGGGCTCTTATTAGAATATAATTTTGGTGAGAGAAAAAAAAGAGTTGAAAGATCGTAAATTTCATGGTTTATGCTGACAGCCTAAAATGATAGGAAGGAAATGTCTGTGCGTGTATACACAACAGATACATTTTCCAGAATTTAATTGCCCATAAATAAGGGTGCATATAACACACGAGTGTGTGTTATACACGAATAAATAAGTGTACATTGATCAATCGGAAGGGGTTCTAATTGGAATTGTTCACTAGCCAATATTTTAGCAAATATCGCCGTGGGCACTTATTAGAGTGGGGTGCTTATTAGAGTGGGGCGCTTATTGTGTCGAATACGGTTTTAATATTAGAATATTGTTTGGGTGAAAAAAACAGAGTTGAAAGATACATTTCTGGTTATGCTGACAGCCTGAAATGTTTATGTCCGACAGATATATTTTTCCAGAATTTAATTGCCAATAATAAAGGGTGCATATATCACACGAGTGCGTATTATACGCGAATAGGGGAAGGAAGCGGTGCGTATTATATGCGAAATGCGAATACGGTACCAAATAAATGCCAGGTGTCCAGGGACCCAGGCCGGCAACATGAGGCATGCTGGAGTGTCAGACTGAAGTAGGGGATACCAGTGTAAGACTGAATATGCAGATTCTAAACCTGCCTGTGTGTCGGTTAGCAAGGATTACAACAACTTCAGATTAGAGTTACTTCCCTTGGGTTTGAGTAGCAACAGGGAGACAAATGGCCGTCTTTGACAATTGTCAGCAATAATTTATTCAATTCGATTGCATTGATTTATATAATTATCAAGCCTTAGAGTTCGTTTCCTACCATCCCAATAGTACTGGAGTAGTGGAAATAGCCCAGTGGTCATCACTGCCTCAGTGGTAGAGCGTCCGCCCGGAGAGCCCCGGCCGCGTCATACCAAAAGACGTTTAAAGATGGTACTTATTGTTACCCTGTCTGGCGCTCGGCATTAAGGGGTTAAAACAAGGACTGGTCGGCTCGGAGTCAGTATACTGTGTCTGAGTGGGGTATTTATGTTAAACTGCGGCATGGTATCTCAGTGAGCTAGCACTATAAATCGGCATCAGTCCGGACTAGTACAAGCAGCCACACAAACACACACACGTACATGCAATGAGTATAAGTGCAATAATCTTGGACGCGACGTTAAACCCCATTTCACCTCACCTCGCCTCGCCTCGCCCTCGCCTCGCCTCGCCTCGCCTCGCCTCACCTCACCTCACCTCACCTCACCTCACCTCACCTCATCTCACCCAGCGGTCACCTCTCATAGTAATCCCATGTCACCTGCTTCCAGTGCTATCTCCTGCTCTAAGTTGGTCCTGGGCCCCACGGCAGACGACACGGAGCAGCAGACGGACAACATGGGCAGAGTGCTGAGTACAAGTGCACCAGCCTCCACCAACTGTCTGCTGGGAAACTTTGAGGTCAGTCATGGTAACATGGGGTAACAGCCCAGACTCCCTTAGAAGCCCGAAGTTCTACTCGTCGTAGAGATGCCTTTAACATTAGAGTACTGTCAGGCTAATGGGCTAGTGCCAAGTTGCATCTCTGCTTCTTATGTCCTTTGTGACCTCTCTACATCAGACTGTGACCTCTGTTCCCTCTCTATGAGACTAGAGTGACCACTATCTCCTCTACATCAGACTGTGACCTCTGTTCCCTCTCTATGAGACTAAAGTGACAACTATCTCCTCTACATCAGACTGTGACCTCTGTTCCCTCCCTATCAGACTAAAGTGACCACTATCTCCTCTACATCAGACTGTGACCTCTGTTCCCTCCCTATCAGACTAACGTGACCACTATCTCCTCTACATCAGACTGTGACCTCTGTTCCCTCCCTATCAGACTAAAGTGACCACTATCTCCTCTACATCAGACTGTGACCTCTGTTCCCTCCCTATCAGACTAAAGTGACCACTATCTCCTCTACATCAGACTGTGACCTCTGTTCCCTCTCTATGAGACTAAAGTGACAACTATCTCCTCTACATCAGACTGTGACCTCTGTTCCCTCCCTATCAGACTAAAGTGACCACTATCTCCTCTACATCAGACTGTGACCTCTGTTCCCTCCCTATCAGACTAAAGTGACCACTATCTCCTCTACATCAGACTGTGACCTCTGTTCCCTCCCTATCAGACTAAAGTGCCACTATCTCCTCTACATCAGACTGTGACCTCTGTTCCCTCCCTATCAGACTAAAGTGACCACTATCTCCTCTACATCAGACTGTGACCTCTGTTCCCTCCCTATCAGACTTAAGTGACCACTATCTCCTCTACATCAGACTGTGACCTCTGTTCCTCTCTATCAGACTAAAGTGACCACTTTCTCCTCTACATCAGACTGTGACCTCTGTTCCCTCTCTATCAGACTAAAGTGACTACTATCTCCTCTACATCAGACTAAAGTGACCTCTGTTCCTCTACATCAGACTAAAGTGACCTCTGTTCCCACTACATTGGACTAAAGTGACCTCTGTTCCCACTACATCAGACTAAAGTGACCTCTATCCCCTCTACATCAGACTAAAGTGACCTCTGTTCCACTACATCAGACTAAAGTGACCTCTGTTCCACTACATCGGACTAAAGTGACCTCTGTTCCACTACATTGGACTAAAGTGACCTCTGTTCCACTACATCAGACTAAAGTGACCTCTTTCCCACAACATCGAAATAAAGTGACCTCTGTCCCCTCTAGATCAGACTACAGTGACCTCTGTTCCCTTCGTCTGCTTCATCAGTGTAATAGGACCCTTAAGGGGCGGTTTGGTAGCCTAGTGGTTAAAGCGTTCGCTCGTCACGCCGAAGACCCGGGTTTGATTCCTGACATGGGTACAATGTGTGAAGCCCATTTCTGGTGTCCCCCGCCGTGATATTGCTGGAATATTGCTAAAAGCGGCGTAAAACCATACTCAGTCAGTCAGTCATTCATAGGACCCTTATCCCCTCTTCATAAGACTAAGGTGACTTCTGTTCCCACTACATCGGACTAAATCCTCCTCCTCCTTGCGATTGCCTACAACTGTTAAGCATCAAGATGAGTTGTTACACCCAGTGTACAATAAACCCAGACATGTCATATCAGTATTTGTCCCTCTTTCAGGAGTCTGTGTTGAATGGACGTATTGAACCAATCGGGGTAGTGGATGGATTCACTGCAGAGATCGGAGCCAGCGGGTCGTTTTGTCCCAAGCATGTGATACTGCCAGTCACATCGTACTTCTTCAAACTGTCGGATGATAACGCACCGTCACCGTACCTGGTAAGTCTATCTGTTGTTGTTATAGTCGTGATAGCCCCCTGTGATCGAGTTTGTTTGCTTGTTTGTTTCTTAACGCCCACTCAGCAATATTTCAGCTATATAACGGCGGTATGTAATTAATAGAGTCAGAAAACAAGGACTGGTCGGCTCGGAGTCAGTTCAATGACCACATAGGTACTATGTGTGAAGTCCATTTCTGGTGTCCCCCACCGTAATATTGCTGGAATATTGCTAAAAGTGGCGTAAAACCAGACTCACTCACTCACTCTCTCACTTCGTCTATTAACATCTTTTGATATAACACAGTCAGGAATCGTGGAATGGATCATTGTGGATGATGATGATGATGATGATGATGATGATGGATCGTGGATCATTGTGGATGATGATGATGATGGATCGTGGGTCATTGTGGATGATGATGATGATGGATCGTGGGTCATTGTGGATGATGATGATGATGATGATGATGATGATGATGATGATGGATCGTGGATCATTGTGGATGATGATGATGATGGATCGTGGGTCATTGTGGATGATGATGATGATGATGATGATGATGGATCATTGTGGATGATGATGATGATGATGATGATGATGGATCATTGTGGATGATGATGATGATGATGATGATGATGATGATGATGATGGATCATTGTGGATCATTGTGGATGATGATGATGATGATGATGATGGATCATTGTGGATCATTGTGGATGATGATGATGATGATGATGATGATGATGATGGATCATTGTGGATGATGATGATGATGATGATGATGGATCATTGTGGATCATTGTGGATGATGATGATGATGATGATGATGATGATGATGGATCATTGTGGATGATGATGATGATGATGATGATGATGATGGATCGTGGATCATTGTGGATGATGATGATGATGGATCGTGGGTCATTGTGGATGATGATGATGATGATGATGATGATGGATCATTGTGGATGATGATGATGATGATGGATCATTGTGGATCATTGTGGATGATGATGATGATGATGATGATGGATCATTGTGGATCATTGTGGATGATGATGATGATGATGATGATGATGATGATGATGATGATGATGGATCATTGTGGATGATGATGATGATGATGATGATGATGGATCATTGTGGATCATTGTGGATGATGATGATGATGATGATGATGATAATGATGATGTTTCAGGGTCACATGAACCTGGAGAGCCTGGGGAAGAGAGGATACCACATTCCGAAGAAAGGCACAGTGCAAGTGGTAGGTGGTTGTACACTGTCAGATTGTTCGTGTCAGTACTTGCTCCGTGGATAATTCTCACCGACATGGGTACAATGTGTGAAGCCCATTTCTGGTGGTTCCCGCCGTGATATTGCTGGAATATTGCTAAAAGCGGCGTAAAACCATACTCACTCACTCACTCACTCAATTGATGACATCTTACAATCTAGGCAGTATAAGTTGTACAGTTCTGTCTTCCAGTTTGACCATAAATGCCTCACTGACGTCTATGACAGTACATGTATATGTGACCAACTCCGTGGTCTAGTAGTAGAGTGTTCACCCGGAGAGTGGAAGGTCCGGGGCTTGATCCCCGGCCGCGTCATACCAAAAGACGTTAAGATGGTACTTGTTGTTACCCTGTCTGGCGCTCGGCATTAAGGGGCTAAAACAAGGACTGGTCCACTCAGTCAGTATACTACATCCGGGGTTTGATCACCGGTCGCGTCATACAAAAAGACGTTAAAAGATGGTACTTGTTGTTACCCTGTCTGGCTCTCGGCATTAAGGGGCTAAAACAAGGACTGGTCACTCGGAGTCTGTTTACTGTGTCTGAGTGAGGTATTCATGTTAAACTGCGGCATGGTATCTCAGTGTGCTAGCACTATAAATCGGCATCAGTCCGGACTAGTACAAGCAGCCACACACATACATCACGTGAATGCTCGTCGCTATATAAGTGCAATAATCTTGGACGAATGTTAAACCCCATTTCACCTTACCTCACTTCACATGTATATCACACAGTTCTGTAGGGGCGGTTGGGTAGCCTAGTGGTTAAAGCGTTGCTCGTCACGCCAAAGACCCGGGTACAATGTGTGAAGCCCATTTCTGGTGTCCCCTGTTGTGATATTGCTGGAATATTGCTAAAAGCGGTGTAAAATCAGATTCACTCACTCACTCACACAGTTCTGTAAAACTGTTTGACCCTAAATGCCTCACTGACGTCGGTGACAGTGATTGACCTGTCTGACCACTAAATGTGTTCCTGCTGTGTCCAGACTCTCTTCAACCCCAACAAGACGGTGGTCAAGATGTTTGTGGTCATGTACGATCTGCGGGAGATGCCAGCAAACTGCCAGACGTTTCTGCGGCAACGCACACTCTACATGCCCGTGAACCCGGACAGTGACGAACCCGCCTATCTGAGATACCTCATCCATCTAAGGTGAGTTCTCCCTGCAACAGGCGTCAATAAGATATGTCAAGATGAATAAAACAAACTACTGAAGAACAACAGACTTCTGTCCCCACTACATCAGACTAAAGTGACCTCTATCTCACTACATCAGACTAAAGTGACCCCAAACCTTTCTACATTAGACTAATGTGACCTCTATCCCTCTACATCAGACTAAAATGACTTCTGTTCCTCTACATAAGACTAAAGTGACCTCTGTCCCACAACATCAGACTAAAGTGACCTCTGTTCCTCTACATCATACTTAAATGACCTCTAACCCACTACATTAGACTAAAGTGACCTCTGTTCCTCTACATCAGACTAAAATGACCTCTGTTCCTCTACGTCAGACTAAAGTGACCTCTAACCAACTACATCAGACTAAAGTGACCTCTATCCCACTACATTAGACTAAAGTGACCACTATCTCCTCTACATCAAACTAAAATGCCTTCTGTTCCTCTACATCAGACTAATGTGACCTCGACTCTCTACATCAGACTAAAGTGACCTCTATCCCACTACATTAGACTAACGTGACCTCTGTTCCCTTCATCAGAGTAATATGACCTTTGTCCCCACTACATCAGACTAAATTGACCTCTGTTTCCACTACATCAGACTAAAGTGACCTCTATCTCACTACATCAGACTAACATGGCCTGTACTCCTCTACTACAGACTAACATGGCCTCTACTCTCTACTACAGACTAACATGGCCTCTACTCTCTACATCAGACTAACATGACCTCTACTCCTCTACTTCAGACTAACATGGCCTCTACTCTCTACATCAGACTAAAGTGGCCTCTACTCCTCTATACCAAACTGATTTGACTTCTATCCTTCCCAGATTTGCCAGCTCCAAGACGGGAAAGATCCACCTCCACACCGACATCCGACTCATCTTCGCCCGCGACAAGTTCGAGTTTGACAACAAAGTAGCCCAGTACGAGCTCCGATCATTCAATGAGGGGCCAAGAAATCCCAAGTTTTCCCCCAAGAGGTGACCCAGGCAGTCATTAGGGTATTAATTGTTAACTAGCGGGAGTCCACGTTGGATGCGTTGCTGTAGATGGTGGTGTTGTTACCTCGCTGTAGTCTGTTTGTGACTGCCATCCTCCATGTGAGGAGGCTGTTGATGATGATGATGATGATGATGATGATGATGATGTTGCATTATGGGGACGTCCAGATTTATTTAGAAATGTTTCATGTGTTCACCACCTGGGTAACTTAGCCGTATTGTCCTTTTATCATAGTCCAGAACATATTCTAATTAAGAAGTCTGTACGATGGTACAAGCATATGGTACAAAGTCATTCAGACTTGTCAAACAACATGTCAGGAACATGTTGTCTTGACTACGTAGTATCAGTATCTGGAAGCATTGCATCTTTTGGTAAAAAATGAACTGAAACAGTCTCGCTTTAGAGATCCTTTCAGGGCCTGTTCCACAAAGCGATCTTAGTGCTAAGATGATCGTAATTCCCATGCTTACGATAGGTGTAGCGCTAAGATCGCATTGTGGAACAGGGCCCTGAAATATTGTATTTTTAATTACTTTCTTCAGATAAGACATCACCTATTAATGCCTACCATATGTTTATCCTTGGCTTCTGAGTGATATTGTCAGGTAAAAGTCATCGAAAAGTACACAATTTCTATTATAATGTAGGATGTATGAAATTGTTCAAATCCTTCTGTTTGTTAAGTGAATATTTAAACAGGTTTGTTTATTGAGTTCAGTTGTTAATTTATTTTCTTGTAAGGTCATGTAGAGGTCATGTAGAGGTCATGTTTGAAAAGATCCTACTTGATGAGAGCTCTCCTGAATCTATTATAGGAACAGTAATTTATTCCACTGTGATAATTGTCTGAATGTTTCCGTGTCGTGTTATACATCTTCCTGAGGCAAGGGAGTTAACTGACAATAAAAGTCGAATTTCCACCCTTCTCGAACTAGGCTGGAATTCCGGAGTTACATTTTGACTGTACTAACGAGTCTATGCATTGTCCCTTCAAAATTGTGTGTTGAACTAAACATTTCGGTCGACTGCAGGATTTGCATAGCATGGTACCGCTTACTGGGCGTTGACAGATATTGTCCAAATCTTTTCATGTTTTTAATCAAGATGCTCAAGTGATTTGATGCACTTCACGAAGTAAGACCCGTGTTATTAAAATATAGATCTTGAATATCAATCATGTCGTCTTGACTGAGCGCGGCCATTTTGTTTGACGCAAATGCAATGTCAAACGTGGAATCTGATTGGTCAACAGGAGGGACATAGAAGTGACATAACTCGTAATAGCCACTGGCGGCGCTACGATCGAGCCCAGAAATTGACAAGGGTGGAAGCAGGACATTTATAGTCAGTTAACTCTCTTGCCTCAGGAGGCATGTTATACAAACAGACAATCAAGAAGTAGTTGCTTGCATGTAGTAGACGAGCTGGTAAGGTCACGTGTTGTAGGAAGGCCCATCTTCTGATGAAGCTAACGGGGGATACAGTACACACATTCCCTTGCCTCTGCAGCAGTGATGCTTGCTTGCATGTCTTATTGATCGTAGTGATGAGTGATGACCTGTGATGCCTCGACTGAATCAGGTGATGATCTGTGTAGGGCTGGGGCGATACACCAACTGTGTGATCTGATACCTTGTTCACGAGCCGATAAGTATCACGATACTTGCATGTGCTCTTGTCTGTGGTGGGTAAACCAATTTTTTCATAGACAGGATGGCCAAATACCTGGCTCAGTAACAATTTACAGTTGGCAGTGTCAAGTATGGCAGAATGGATGAAATTGTTTTCACTATATTTAGTGTTTGGTGTAACATTTATTAAAGAATACATTTAAGGTAAGAATCAATACCTTTTACTTGTGATTGTGATCGATATTTGTATCGAGAAGTAAAAAATTGCGATCCATCAATGCATCAATGTATCGTCCCAGTACTAGATCTGTGGTGCCTGGCCTAGAGGAATGCGATGATAAGGAATGTAGTGATGAGGAATGCGATTATGAGAAATGTGATGATGAGAAATGCAATGATGAGAAATGCGATGATGAGGAATGCGATGAAGAATATGATGAGGAATGCGATGATGCGGAATGCGATGATGAGGAATGCCATGATGAGGAATGCGATGATGAATGCGATGATGAGGAATGTGATGATGGAGGGGATGATGAGGAATGCGATGATGAATGTGATGATGAGGAATGCGATGAGGAATGTGATGATGAGGAATGCGATGATGAATGCGATGATGAGGAATGTGATGATGGAGGGGATGATGATGAATGCGATGATGAATGTGATGATGAGGAATGCGATGATGAATGTGATGATGAGGAATGCAGTGATGAGGAATGTTATGATGAGGAATGCGATGATGAGGAATGCGATGAAGAATGGGATGATGAGGAATGTGATGATGAGGAATGCGATGATGAGGATTGTGATGAAGAATGGGATGATGAGGAATGTGATGATGAGGAATGTGATGATGAGGCATGCAACAGTGATGGTAGTAAAATAATGGAAGATGTACAAGTCTACAGAATGCAGTGAAGTGATGGCGAATGTACTAGTCTACTGAGTTTAGTGATGTGGTGATCGGGTGTACTGGATGTAGTGAAGATGTGATGTTAAATGCTGCAGTGATGCTCGGGTGTACTGAATGTAGTGATGATCTATGCTGCAGTGATGCTCGAGTGTACTGAATGTAGTGAAGATGTGATGTTAAATGCTGCAGTGATGCTCGAGTGTACTGAATGTAGTGATGATCTATGCTGCAGTGATGCTTGAGTGTACTGAATGTAGTGATGATCTATGCTGCAGTGATGCTCGAGTGTACTGGATGTAGTGAAGAAGTGATGTTACATGCTGCAGTTATGCTCGAGTGTACTGAATGTAGTGAAGATGTGATGTTAAATGCTGCAGTGATGCTCGAGTTTACTGGATGTAGTGATGATCTATGCTGCAGTGATGCTTGAGTGTACTGAATGTACTGAATGTAGTGATGATCTATGCTGCAGTGATGCTCGAGTGTACTGAATGTAGTGATGATCTATGCTGCAGTGATGCTCGAGTGTACTGAATGTAGTGATGATCTATGTAGCAGTGATGCTCGAGTGTACTGAATGTAGTGATGATCTATGCAGCAGTGATGCTCGAGTGTACTGAATGTAGTGATGATCTATGCAGCAGTGATGACAGGATGTAGTGATGTAGGCTGCTGTAGTAGGAATGTTGTAAAGGTCATACATTGCCCTACACATAATCATGATAATGTACCAACGGACATGTATAAGCATTGGATACATCGAGCTGTAGACTAGTAGAAGGGAAGCAGCACACAGAAGTCAGACTGTGTGACAGGTAGGGTTGTATGAGAGCGTATATCCCAGCGAGGATGCTAGTATGCTGTAGTGTAGATAGTATGTTGCATAGACAGAAAGCTTAGTATGCTGATGTGTACGTGGCTTGACCCTGTATGTGGCTTGTCCCTGTACGTGGCTTGTCCCTGTACGTGGCTTGTCCCTGTACGTGGCTTGTCCCTGTACGTGGCGTGACCCTGTACGTGGCTTGACCCTGTACGTGGCTTGTCCCTGTACGTGGCTTGTCCCTGTACGTGGCTTGTCCCTGTACGTGGCTTGTCCCTGTACGTGGCTTGTCCCTGTACGTGGCGCGACCCTGTACATGGCTTGTCCCTGTACGTGGCGTGACCCTGTACGTGGCTTGTCCCTGTACGTGGCGCGACCCTGTACGTGGCTTGTCCCTGTACATGGCTTGTCCCTGTATGTGGCTTGACCCTGTATGTGGCTTGTCCCTGTACGTGGCTTGTCCCTGTACGTGGCTTGTCCCTGTACGTGGCTTGACCCTGTACGTGGCTTGTCCCTGTACATGGCTTGTCCCTGTACGTGGCTTGTCCCTGTACATGGCTTGTCCCTGTACATGGCTTGTCCCTGTACGTGGCGCGACCCTGTACCTGGCTTGTCCCTGTACGTGGCGTGACCCTGTACGTGGCTTGTCCCTGTACGTGGCTTGTCCCTGTACGTGGCTTGTCCCTGGGGTGGCTTGTCCCTGTACGTGGCTTGTCCCTGTACGTGGCTTGACCCTGTATGTGGCTTGTCCCTGTATGTGGCTTGTCCCTGTACGTGGCTTGTCCCTGTATGTGGCTTGTCCCTGTACGTGGCTTGTCCCTGTACTTGGCTTGTCCCTGTACGTGGCTTGTCCCTGTACGTGGCTTGTCCCTGTACGTGGCTTGTCCCTGTACGTGGCTTGACCCTGTACAATCTGATCGGAAGTTGTATTAATAAGATCCTCAGGATATTATAACACATTACATAGGAAATAGTGTGAACAAGCAAAAAAACATAAAAAACTACCCCCTCCCATACTTTGTTTTCAGAAGTCATTGCCTGAGAACCAGTTCTCTTTTAATTTTTTTAGCCTTATAGGGTGGTGGGGGGAGAGCGGTGGTCATAAAAAAATTATACAAATTATTGTTAAATATTACTAAATTTAGACCCCATCACTTTGTTCTAAGATGGTTAACAAAAACAGCTCTTTTTGTTCAGTCGGCCTGCTTAAGTTAAATATAGTCATTGAGATAATTCCAAGTGCTCTCAGTGTCAAAACAAGGTTTATGTTATTATGTTTGGCATCAAGGGTGTTTTCTACCCATTAGCTCTTGTTTTACGAGATACGTTCTAATGCTGTAGGGGGGCAAAATGGCCAAGTCGTCTAAGGCGACGCGATTCGCTGTGTAGAGTTGCGTCCCTTGGGCACGCCAGAAACCTATGATTGTGGGTTCGTATCCCGGTTCGCCCCAATTATGTTTCTAGGTTTGTCAGCACCATACCCGTGCTCGTGGGTTTCACCGAAGTGGTAAACGTCTGAGACCTGCATCACTTCGGGCTTTCCTCCCACATAAAGCTGACACGTCACGATATAACTGGAATACTGTTAAAAGCGGCGTTAAACCCAGCTCACTCACTCACTCTAATGTTGTAGTGACAGTTATGACAGTGGTGTCGTGTGCAAAAATGGAATTTCATTATGATGTTATTAGGTCACATGTTACTATCTGCCTTCTAGCCTATTGGCATAGCTTGATGACTTCCTCTAATAAAATCAGTATGTGTAGAAATTGTTACAGAAGTTATCAGAAGTGGCAGTAAATCTAAAACTTGCCAATAATAGGAAAAAGGATAGTTGTCAATTCTCTGAACTTGATCGATATATTTCCACAAATTAAATATTTTATGATTCCAGTTGGCCCCAAAAAGCCATTACTCCACACACCCCTCAATCTCTCCATCACCATGTTCTAGAAAGATTGTTGGTTATCACGATAAAGTTTGTGAAAGACATTTTCCCAACCAATTTTGTGAGGTTGCAACAGAACTGTTAGAAATCTGGACAAACCTCCCTCCCATTCTGCACAAGGACAAAATGGCCAAAGGGAGGTAACTCTCATAGAGTTACTTCCCTTAGAAGTGAGACCCCTCTGATCTGGTGTATGTTATTATACATGTGATGTATATAGAGTGTTGTAAAGGGAGGTAACACAGATACTCTCCGATTGTTCAGTAACCATACATACAGAGGACATAATTGTCAGACTTGACCCAGACAGAGATACTAATTTCATCTGACTGTTGACATGACCTTGACCTCTTCCCAGGGTCAGGCTTGATGCAAGGGCTGGGATGGGTAACTAGGGTACTCGGGTCAGGTGGGTCCTGAGTAGGACCCGGGTACCCACAGGACTACCCGGACCCGTGCTTAGCCACATGATATATTGTGTAATGACAATATTATCTAAAACTCTATAGTTACACTACAAGTCACTAATGTTCCCATTTCTTTCTGCCTATGCGCCCATTCCTTCTGACTTTTATTTGTTTGAATAAAGATAAAACTTCATGCAGTAAACTTCAGTGTATGCATGACCAGATCGTTTTACACGTGTATCTAAATACATTTTGCCAGGGCTACGGTCAAACTTTTCCAAATCAGACAGTTTGTACCTATCTCTAAATATCTATAAGATAAAACTTCATGCAGTAAACTTCAGTGTATGCATGACCAGATCGTTTTACACGTGTATCTAAATACATTTTGCCAGGGCTACGGTCAAACTTTTCCAAATCAGACAGTTTGTACCTATCTCTAAATATCTATAAGATAAAACTTCATGCAGTAAACTTCAGTGTATGCATGACCAGATCGTTTTACATGTGTATCTAAATACATTTTGCCAGGGCTACGGTCAAACTTTTCCAAATCAGACAGTTTGTACCTATCTCTAAATATCTATAAGATAAAACTTCATGCAGTAAACTTCAGTGTATGCATGACCAGATCGTTTTACACGTGTATCTAAATACATTTTGCCAGGGCTACGGTCAAACTTTTCCAAATCAGACAGTTTGTACCTATCTCTAAATATCTATAAGATAAAACTTCATGCAGTAAACTTCAGTGTATGCATGACCAGATCGTTTTACATGTGTATCTAAATACATTTTGCCAGGGCTACGGTCAAACTTTTCCAAATCAGACAGTTTGTACCTATCTCTAAATATCTATAAGATAAAACTTCATGCAGTAAACTTCAGTGTATGCATGACCAGATCGTTTTACATGTGTATCTAAATACATTTTGCCAGGGCTACGGTCAAACTTTTCCAAATCAGACAGTTTGTACCTATCTCTACTATCTATACTACAGCGGGTACTGGGGAAGGGTCAGGTAATGGGGTGGTGGGTACCCGGGTAGGGTCGGGTAAGGGGGTGGTGGGTACCCGGGTGGTATATTTGGACTCGTCCCAGCCCTACTCGATACCTACAACTATCAGGTTTGAAATTCCTATTACAGCGCCAGTAGCACAGATAAACAAGTTCCTGGTGCCAAAAGGGCACACTTATTAATATTGGCTTTTTAATTCAAGAATGTATATTATATGAAGCCAGGAATAGATGAGGCTGCCATCCCCTTTTGGGATGCGGGATTCAGGGGGCTTTTAACAGGGTATTCAGGACTCCGCATTGTGGGATGCAAATAAGATTATATTTGGTACTCAGATTTGACATTAAAACAAAAATCATGTATGTAAAAAAGTCGTTCATATAATTTTTCTTTTCAGTAATTTCCACCCTTCTCAATGTTTTTTGAGATTTGTGTTAAGTATCATATTCGACGTAATAAGCGCCCAGGGCGCTCTCAAAATTATAAATAGGGGGCTCTTATTAGAATATAATTTTGGTGAATGAGTCGAAAGATCATAAATTTTATGGTTTCTGCTGACAGCCTGAAATGATACAAAAGAAAAGTCTGTGCGTATTATACACGACAGATATATTTTTCCAGAATTTAATTGCCCGTAATTAAGGGTGCATATAACACATGAGTGCGTATTATACACGAAGGGTGCTAATTGGGATTGTTCACTAGCCAATATATTGGAAAATATCGCCGTGGGCGCTTATTAGAATGGGGCACTTATTACGTCGAATACGGTAATATTCGGGATTCATGGGTGAGCAAATTGTGAAAAAATTAGATGGTTTTGGGAATTCAGGGGAGGGTGGTTGTCACCCTCATAAAGGACTTGTACAAAACTGGACAAACACTGGACAATAGGATCACAGAATAATCTTCGGGACTTTTTCAATGAGTGAGTGAGTGAGTGAGTGAGTGAGTGAGTGACTTAGTGAGTGAGTGAGTGAGTGAGTGAGGTTTTACGCCGCTTTTAGCAATATTCCAGCAATATCACGGCGGGGGACACCAGAAATGGGCTTCACACATTGTACCCATGTCGGGAATGGAACCCGGGTCTTCAGCGTGACGAGCGAACGCTCTAACCACTAGGCTACCCGACCGCCCCTTTCAATGAAGGAAGGGGCAAACAAATTGATGGTGAAAGGACTATCTCTGGATCGAGGACGGATGAAAGGTGCTGATGTGACTGGTACACTTAGATTCCATCAGCACATCGGAACATCTTTATGAGTGCCCCATAGCAAACTTTAAAAGAAATTACCGTATTCGACGTAATAAGCGCCCACGGCAAAATTTGCTAATATATTGCCTGGTGAACAATCCCAATTAGCACCCCTTCCGATTGATCAATGTACACAAGGCTTATTTATACACGTATAATACGCACTCGTGCGTAATATGCAGCCTTAATCATGGGAAATTAAATTATGAAAAAATGTATCTGTCGTATATAAATATTTCAGGCTGTCAGCATAAACCACGAAATTTGTCTTTCAACTCTGTTTTTTTTTTCACCAAAATAATATTCTAATAAGAGCCCCCTATTTCTAATTTTGAGAGCGCCCTGGTCGCTTATTACGTCGATTACGGTATTGCTAAAAGTGGAGTACTATACAACTCACTCACTGTAATGGCATGACAGATTAACGAGGTAAAAAATATCAAAGAATCATGTGGTCTTTAACTTCTTGAATAGTATATACAGACAACGTATTTTATAGTACGCATGCTGGGCATTTACCAACCACAGCAGTGAGACTTATTGTTGATATTATGGAGTGTAAATTTTATGTTATATTATGCGTGTATATTTTGAAGGCATAGGAGCACAACACTACTCTGGAGACAAGTGCCATTTCTTCTGTCCGGTATCTTTTCAAAAAAGATATTTTTATTATTTTGAGACATGATTTTTGTTTATTGTTATTTGTAGTTCTTTCTTTTAATTTGTCATGGTTGAATACAGTCAACTTGGTTATAATGAAAACTTGCAATTAGAACTTGTTAGTTTGGCCAGACTAGCTTAATTACTTGTTTCACAACTCGTGAAGATCCGGGGTGGAATAGGTCTTCAGAAACCCATGCTTGCCGTAACAGGCGACTTTGCTTGTCGTAGGAGGCGACTAATGGGATCGGGTGGTCAGACTCGCTGACTTGGTTAATGTATGAGATCGTATCCCAATTGTGTGGATCAAAGCTCATGATGTCAATCACTGGATTGTCTGGTCCAGACTCAATTATTTTACAGACAGCCGTCATGTAGCTGGAATATTGCTGAGTGCGGCGTTAAACAACAAGCAAACAAACAAACAAACAAACTTCCCTTTACAGAATGTTTAGGTTTTTAAATAATGCCTAAAAAATTACCCGGGCACCATTCTTCTAAACTTTGTATGTTTGTTGTTTAAAGCCGCACTCAGCAATGTTCTAGCTATATGACGGCGGTCTGTAAATAATCCAGTCTGGACCAGACAATCCACTGATTGACATCATGATCATCGATCTACGCAATTGGGATACGATGACATACATCAACCAAGTCAGCGAGTCTGACCACCCGATCCCATTAGTCGCCTCTGACGACAAGCTTAGGACCACAATTATCGTAAGTCTATGTTAAAGTATAGGAGTTACGATCGTCTTAGCACTAACATTGTTTTGTGAAACAGGGCCTAGAGTATCTGTGAAACAAGTCATTCAACGGGTCGGCCATATGTATGAAATATACCCTTGTGTCCGAAATTTGCTCTTCACAAGATTGAAATTTACTCTTCTGTTAAGTGCTTGCGATTGATATAACCAATTGTTTGTTAAATCTGACTTTGTTGTATCTCAAGTTGACTGTAATTGGTTGTTGCAAATTTTATGTCTGAAAGTCACTGTTCACTTGGTTACCATGGTAACAGATCTGTTCGTTATCCTTCGTAAGAATCTAGAGACTTTTCTGTGACAGGCCTGATTCCTCCGTGCTGTTCATGATGTCTTCGCTTCTGAGGAGGAGGGACTCCGGTCTAAATTTGTCACATTTCCTGGTCGTTCATTGGGAGAAACATTGTCGTGTCAAATATTGACCCTGCATTTATATTTTGACTTTATCATCCCAAACTGGCTTCCATGAAATTGCATCACAATGCTTTACAGACCATCACTATTTCTCTGCCTCTACGGGGGCACGGGTGGCCCAGTCGTCTAAGGCGTCTGTGCAGAGTTGCGTCCCCTGGACACGCCAGAAACCTATGATTGTGGGTTCGAATCCCGGTTCGCCCCGATTATGTTACCCGTGCTCGTGGGTTTCACCGAAGTGGTAAACGTCTGAGACCTGCATCACTTCGGGCTTTCCTCCCACATTAAGCTGACACGCCGCGATATATCTTGAATACTGTTAAAAGCAGCGTAAAACCCAACTCACTCACTCACTCTTCTATATGACTATAGTACCCCTGTCATGGCTAGTGGGTGTTCCCTAACTTGTTTTGAGTTGTATATATAGTAGTTCCTAGTTTGATACCATGATGCACTGGTACATCAGTGGAGCAAATAATATCTAGGAAGTGAAGACTAGCATCAATACCGTATTCGACGTAATAAGCGCCCCGATCTAATAAGCACCCATGGCGATATTTGCTAATATATTGGCAAGTGAACAATCCCAATTAGCACCCCTTCCGATTGATCGATATACGCAAGACTTATTTATTCGTGTATAATACGCACTCAAGTGTTATATGCACCCTTAATTATGGGAAATTAAATTCTGGAAAAATATATCTGTCGTATATAAACAGGTGGCCGTCAGCATAAACCACGAAATTTATCTTTCAACTCTGTTTTTTTCACCAAAATAATATTCTAATAAGAGCCCCCTATTTCTAATTTTGAGAGCGCCCTGGGCGCTTCTTACGTCGAATACGGTATATCTTAGCGGCCAGGCCAGATTTTAGATATCTTTCAAGAATTAAGAAATCTTAGTATGGGCATTAACATACCTCAGCAGCATGAAGGGCATTAAGATATCTTAGTAGGCTGGCTAGCACGAAGATATCTCTCTAGTTGGGTCTAGCATTAACATATCTTAGTGTTAGTTATTGCTACTGAGCTATCTTAGCAGCCAGGGCTCACGCTAAGATATGTCAGGTGCCAAGACTAGTCTTAAGATATCTTAGCAATCAGGTCTAAGATTAACATGTTTAATGTTAAGATATCTCAGAAGCCAGGGCTCTCACTAAGATATATCAGGAGCCAAGACTAGTCTCAAGATATCTTAGCAATCAGGTCTAAGATTAACATGTTTAATGTTAAGATATCTTAGAAGCCAGGGCTCACACTAAGATATGTCAGGTGCCAAGACTAGTCTTAAGATATCTTAGCAATCAGGTCTAAGATTAACATGTTTAATGTTAAGATATCTTAGAAGCCAGGGCTCTCACTAAGATATATCAGGAGCCAAGACTAGTCTCAAGATATCTTAGCAATCAGGTCTAAGATTAACATGTTTAATGTTAAGATATCTTAGAAGCCAGGGCTCACACTAAGATATGTCAGGTGCCAAGACTAGTCTTAAGATATCTTAGCAATCAGGTCTAAGATTAACATGTTTAAAAGCCAGGGCTCACGCTCACGCTAAGATATGTCAGGTGCCAAGACTAGTCTTAAGATATCTTAGCAATCAGGTCTAAGATTAACATGTTTAAAAGCCAGGGCTCACGCTCACGCTAAGATATGTCAGGTGCCAAGACTAGTCTTAAGATATCTTAGCAATCAGGTCTAAGATTAACATGTTTAAAAGCCAGGGCTCACGCTCACACTAAGATATGTCAGGTGCCAAGACTAGTCTTAAGATATCTTAGCAATCAGGTCTAAGATTAACATGTTTAAAAGCCAGGGCTCACGCTCACGCTAAGATATGTCAGGTGCCAAGACTAGTCTTAAGATATCTCAGCAATCAGGTCTAAGATTAATGTTAAGATATCTCAGAAGCCGAGCACTAAGAGGAGCAGGGCGAAGTCCCTCCACATATTTGACACATATTTTCTCCAGTATACAGGATATTTAGTTCTTAGATTCATCTGTTTTCTGTTTTAAGTGCCTATTCCCAGTTGTTCCTACTTGAGAGTATATTGTATAATAATATCTGTCTTTCCCCAATCAACTGTGATATGTATTAATTTATTCTCTTTTAGAAGTGCTTTAGATGTTTTTTGACCTGTTTAGCTAGAGCATAACGGCTGTAGGAGATTTCAGCTGTGTACAGGACGCTGCCTGGACAGATTGCCTGTTTTCTTAGTTTTGTGGTATGCAAACTTTTAGCTAGAATAATTACCTGCCCTTGCAATGTACAATTTTTGCCAGTGAAAACACTTAAAGTTCAAAATAAAGTAATATGAATTGATGAATGTTTTGTTGTTAATTTACAGATCTTGTCTTTGACAGAATTATTTTCGATTTCCTCGAGTGTCAGTTTTGCTTATTTTTCGAGGTGATTATTGAACGTTTTTGCTCACGTTTAGAGCATCTGCCTGGTGAGAGTTGGTTGGATCCTGGCCGTGTCATACGATGATGTTAAAAGATGGCACTTGGCATCAAGGGCATAAACCAAGGACTGGTCGGTTTGGAGTCAGTATACTGTATACTGACCGCCTCCGTGGTCTAGTGGCAGCGCGTCCGCCCAGAGAGTGAAAGGTCCGGGGTTCAATCCCCAGCCGCGTCATACCAAAAGACGATAAAAGATGGTACTTGTTGTAACCCTGTCTGGCGCTCGGCATTAAGGGGCTAAAACAAGGACTGGTCGGCTCGGAGTCAGTATACTGTGTCTGAGTGAGGTATTCATGTTAAACTGCGGCATGGTATCTCAGTGAGCTAGCACTATAAATCGGCATCAGTCTGGACTAGTACAAGCAGCCACACAAACACACACACATACATGCACGTCGCTATAGAAGTGCAATAATTTTGGACGCGACGTCAAACCCCATTTCATCTCACCTCACCCTGCTTCTAGTGAGTGAGTGAGTGAGTATGGTTTTACGCTGCTTTTAGCAATATTCCAGCAATAACACGGCAGGGGACACCAGATATGGACTTCACACATTTTACCCATGTCAGGATTCGAACCCGGGTCTTCGGCGTGACGAGCGAACGCTTTAACCACGAGGCTGTGGTTGTGACAGCCAGTAAGTTGCAGTTTACAGATTTTTGTTTACGTATTTGTTGGTTATATCTGACCACGAAACGGAAAGTAATATCTACGTGTGGCTGTTTCCTCAACATTCACTTTTCTTGTAAGTTTGACACCATGCAACAGTCGCGTTGTCTCGGATCAACTACGGCTGTAAACAATCCGCGAAGTTGCATGAGCATAGAATGGCAAGATGAAAAAATCGACCGCTAGAATTCATTGCTTCCACTCTGCCCAAGTTATAAACTCTTTTTGGCCCCGCCCCTCAGGCCATGGGAATACTTCCAACCAAATATGATTGATGTCCATCTCTTACTTCCAGAGAAAAAATGGTTCAAAGCAATATTGCCAAATTACCCTTTTTAGCCCCGCCCCTCACCATTTGTACAATTTTGAATCCCCACCATCTAGGGATGCTTCCAGTCAAATTTCGTTAATTTCCAATTAGTGGTTCAGAAGAAGAAATCATTTGAATAAATTGTTGATGTACGGACGACGGACAGACTACAGACGGACAGACGACGACGCCACGGTATGGCATAACCTCACCTTGGTCCTTCAGACCTGGTGAGCTAATAATCATTTCAAGGAGTAATTGTATGGGTTTCTGGATTAACAAAGTTTCACTGGAGTGGGTGAGTTTTTACGTCGTTTTGAACAGTATTCCAGTTATATCAGCTTAATGTGGGAGGAAAGCCTGAAGTGATGCAGGTCTCAGACGTTTACCACTTCGGTGAAACCCCCGAGCACGGGTATGGTGCTGACAAACCTAGAAACATAATCAGGGTGAAACCGGGATTTGTATCCACGATTATAGGTTTCTAGCGTGCCCAAGGGATGTAACAAATTGCAGTGCCCTAGAGTACCATGCCCCCCATGCCCCTGTGTTGCTGTGCCCCTGTGTCGCTGTGCCTGTTTTTTACTGTGCCCCTGTTTCGCTGTGTCCCTGTGTTGCTGTGCCCGTTTCGCTGTGTCCCTGTGTTGCTGTGCCCCTGTTTCGCTGTGCCCGTTTCGCTGTGTCCTGTGCCCCTGTCGCTGTGCCCTCGTGTCGCTGTGCCCCTGTATTGCTGTCCCCGTGTCGCTGTACCCCTGTATCGCTGAGCCCCTGTGTCCCTGAGCCCCTGTTTCCATGCGCTGCTGTGCCCCTGTGCCCATGCGTTGCTGTGCCCCTGTGCCCCTGTTTCCATGCGTTGCTGTGCCCATGCCCCTGTGTCCCTGTGCCCCTGTTTCCATGTGTTGCTGTGCCCCTGTGTCCCTGTGCCCCTGTTTCCATGCGTTGCTGTGCCCCTGTGTCCCTGTGCCCCTGTGCCCCTGTTTCCATGCGTTGCTGTGCCCCTGTGTCCCTGTTTCCATGCGTTGCTGTGCCCCTGTGTCCCTGTTTCCATGCGTTGCTGTGCCCCTTTGTCCCTGTGCCCCTGTTTTCATGCGTTGCTGTGCCCCTGTGTCCCTGTGCCCCTGTGTCCCTGTGCCCCTGTGCCCCTGTTTCCATGCGTTGCTGTGCCCCTGTGTCCCTGTTTCCATGCGTTGCTGTGTCCCTTTGTCCCTGTGCCCCTGTTTTCATGCGTTGCTGTGCCCCTGTGTCCCTGTGCCCCTGTGTCCCTGTGCCCCTGTGCCCCTGTTTCCATGCGTTGCTGTGCCCCTGTGTCCCTGTTTCCATGCGTTGCTGTGCCCCTTTGTCCCTGTGCCCCTGTTTTCATGCGTTGCTGTGCCCCTGTGTCCCTGTGCCCCTGTGTCCCTGTGCCCCTGTGCCCCTGTTTCCATGCGTTGCTGTGCCCCTGTGTCCCTGTGCCCCTGTTTCCATGCGTTGCTGTGTCCCTTTGTCCCTGTGTCCCTGTTTCCATGCGTTGCTGTGCCCCTGTGTCCCTGTGCCTCTGTTTCCATGCGTTGCTGTGTCCCTTTGTCCCTGTGCCCCTGTTTCCATGCGTTGCTGTGCCCCTGTGTCCCTGTGCCCGTTTCCATGCGTTGCTGTGCCCCTGTGTCCCTGTTTCCATGCGTTGCTGTGTCCCTGTGCCCCTGTGTCCCTGTGCCCCTGCGTTGCTGTGTCCCTGTGCCCCTGTTTCCATGCGTTGCTGTGTCCCTGTGCCCCTGTTTCCATGCGTTGCTGTGCCCCTTTGTCCCTGTGCCCCTGTTTCCATGCGTTGCTGTGCCCCTGTGTCCCTGTGCCCCTGTTTCCATGCGTTGCTGTGCTCCTGTGTCCCTTTGTCCCTGTGCCCCTGTTTCCATGCGTTGCTGTGCCCCTGTACCCCTGTGTCGCTGTGCCCCTGTGTCCCTGTGCCCCTGACTTCATTGCCATAGAGAACAATATGCATAATCTCACTGACTGAAGTTTATTTCATACAATAAATCACTCATTACATGGCTCACAGTTCTGACTCTGGCATATCATCTAGATATATAAAATGCATACATATATTTACAGTAAAAAGTATATACATTGTCAAAAGACAAATATCACACAAAATATCACAGACAAATAAAAAAATAGGTTAAAAAAATACTCAATCTCATTAAAATCAGATCTTAGTTCTTGCTACCGCTAAACAAAGATCTGAGGACATCCCATTACGGGTCACGTCAGACCGACCTTGTGCAAACTTCGACCGACAAATGGAATTACCAATCAGAAGGCACCTTTCTCGTGGTCTACGGCACTAATTTCAAATTGGCGACTACGCTTCGAAACAGATCTTGACAAATTTTCGAGGTTGTATGATTAGAAATCACATTCCGACTGTCACTTTCATGATCTGGTAAGTGACGCTCTGATTGGTCGGATGAAAGGTTGTTCTGACGTAACCCCTAATGGGATGTCTTCAGATCTTTAATTAGCAATAGCGAGGACTAAGGTCTGATTTTAATGAGATTGTGAAAAAACTTCACTTTTGAATTTGGGCTGGACGGGTTTGTGTTTGTTGTTGTTTAACGCTGCACTCGACAATATTTCAGCCATTTGATGTCAGACCAGACCAGACAATCCAGTGATGATTATTGTGAGTAACGATCAACGTCATCGGGGGACAATGACACCCAATCGACCAGCTCACTGAGCCCCCCCCCAAATTGTACCCTCTTACGACCACCATAGTTGCTGGTGACCTCCAACTCAGAATTGTATAATAGGTGGGGACCGAACACGGACATGTCACCACCACAAAAAATATTAGATTTTTTATAGGGGATTATTTTTTTATTATTGTTATATGGATCAAACTCTGCATAAACACCATTTCAGTCGTATCCCTTCATGTCAGGGTACCCGACATTTGATGAAACCCATGAGCTGACAAACCAAGAATCAGAATCAGTCATCAGATCCTGGTATGCCTAAGGGATGTAACTCCACACGAAGCCAAGCAGCAACTGGGCCATGCACCTCCTTGTATTGCAAAGTGAGTATGGTTTTACGCCGCTTTTAGCAATATTCCAGCAATATCATGGCGGGGGACACCAGAAATGGGCTTCACACATTGTACCCATGTCGGGAATCAAACCTGGATCTTCAGTGTGACGAGTGAACGCTTTAACCACTAGGCTACCCGACCAGCCTGTATTGCAAAGAGACGATACACCTACAGAATATTGTATACCCATGTTTGTCTCATGGTGCTAATAACAACAGCATGACTAATTATAAAATAGGGGGATGATAGAGAGTATGGTTTTACACGGCTTATAGCAATATTCCAGCAATGTCACAGCAGGGGAGACCAGAAATGGGCTTTACACATTGTACCCATGTCTGGAATCGAACCCGATCTTAGGTGTGATGAGCGAAAGCTTTAACCACTAGGCTACCCGACCGCCCCTCAAAAATTGGGGGATGAAGCTGTTGAACCCTGTTATTTTAGCAAGGCAGCTTAAAAAGCTTGTGCATATGGCAGAAGTTATCCAGTATTCTGTTTTCTAGCCGAGAAGACACCCAGGTATGACATAAAAACACAGTGAGAGAGAGTATGGTTTTACGCCGTTTTTAGCAATATTCCAACTATCACAGCATGGGACACCAGAAATGGGCTTCACACATTGTACCCATGTTGGGAACCGAACCCGGGTCTTCAGCGTGACGAGCGAACGCTTTAACTACAACGCTTTAACTACACCCCTTGAAAAACACAGGCTGACATGTTGAACCTAGGTGTGGCACAGAATGCTCGATACCTGATGATAAACCCCAGTTAACACAACATCTTCAGGAGGACTTCTGTGACTGTGGACAAGCTTCAGTCGTGGACGCTGACACTGACCGAACTCTTCCGTGTCTGCAGGGGTTTTAACCGTTGACCTTTACTCTTCCGCGGTGATTGCTTGGCCATCTGTCCCATGCCGACTCCGATTGTCTGGAAGTTGGTGCGCAGCACCCTGTGGTTGACCTGGAAAGGGTAAGGTGAGCTACAGTAACTAAACACAACTAAACACAACTAAACACAACCACAATTGAGTGAGTGAGTGAGTTTGGTTTTACGCCGCTTTTAGCAATATTCCAGCAATATCACGGCGGGGGACACCAGAAATGGGCTTCACACATTGTACCCATGTCGGGATTCGAACACGGGTCTTCGGCGTGACGAGCGAACGCTTTAACCACTAGGCTACCCGACCGCACCTAACCACAACTGGGACTGTGCCTCCAATTTTGTATCATTTATGTAAAAGTCCTTATTTCCTAACTGACAATCTTCATCTTATTATTGGGGGCACAGGTGGCCCAGTCGTCTAAGGCGCTGCGATTCGCTGTGCAGAGTTGCGACCCTTGGGCACGCCAGAAACCTATGATTTGTGGGTTCGAATCCCGGTTTGCCCCGATTATGTTTCTAGGTTTGTCAGCACCATACCCGAGCTCGTGGGTTTCACCGAAGTGGTAAACATCCGAGACCTGCATCACTTCGGGCTTTCCTCCGACATTAAGCTGACACGCCGCGATATGACTGTAATAATGTTAAATGCGGCATTAAACCCAACTCACTCATTCACTCATCTTATTATCAAATTAAGATTTAGAATCTCCTACAAGGTGCCGCGACCAAACTATTTTTTTTGTCCCAGTAAGATTTTAACCGAAATGAATCAAATTCAAAGTATGTCAACGAAGAAAGGGAACACCCCCTGCTTGTCAATCAAAATACTGTAAATCGTGAAATTAATGCGTCTCCAAAAGAATGCGACAACTGGCCCCTAGCCAAAAATGCGACTCAATATGAATGCGACCCCCCTCCTCTCAAGCATCAGTTGATTTATATCTAAAGATGTCCTCAGTCAGGTTTACAGGAGAATTATCACCTTAATCCAACCTTACATTAATCCAATCACACACCAAATAGCACCGCTTATAAGCTCTGAGTAAAGTACTTCCGCTAAAACAATACATGAGCGCTGGCTCATGTTGGCCTTTGACGCAGTCGCAAAGAACAAAGACACCGTGTTGCGTGGCTGGCGTCTGTCTGGACTTGCAGGTGTGATCAGTGATGCAGGTGTGATAAGTGAGTAGAACTCTTGTCTTGACCCCAGCAGTGACAATTCATGGGATGTGTTTGAATGACATTGTTTATATACTTGTTACACAAGTGCTGGTCAATAAACAGTGATGCTGAATACATAGTTTCAGCGTATGTCTAAGTTGGTATTTCTGCTATCCAAAATGTCTTACTGTTGATATAAATGCGATGTTAAATGATGCGAGCAAAGACCACTCGCATTTTTCGCACTTAATTCACGCTCGCGTTGATTTCAAGATTTACAGTAAGTTGCAGCAGTATTACGAGGGGTACAAGTAGTTTTGTGTCCCGCATAAGGTTTTATACCCCGAGCCGGAACCGAGTGCTATAAAACCTAAAGAGGCACTCATAGAACCATATATACCCATCCATCTTCCCGAGGCAAGGGAGTTAACTGACTTTAAAAGTCCAGTTTCCACCCTTGCCGAACTTGGCTGGAATTACTGGGCTCGATCATAGCGCCACCAGTGGCTTTTACCAGTTATATCCCTTCTAAGCCTCTCCTATTGACCAATCAGATTCCACCTCTCATACCACTTGCGTTTGCTTCACACAAAATGGTGGGGCCCGGTCAGTTAGATCTGATCGACAATCAAGATCTATATTTTGATAAAAGGGGTCTTACATCGCAAAATGCATCAAATCACGTGTGCACCTTGACTAAAAACATGAAAACATTTGGATAATATCTGCTGGCAATGAGTTGGCGGTGCACATGCTTTGCAAATCCTGCAATCGACTGCGCGATTTTGATTGGACTATGCATAGACTCATTAGTCCAGCCAAAATGTAACTCCATAATACCAGCCTAGTTCAGCAAGGGTGGAAACTGGACTTTTATAGTCAATTGACTCTCTTGCCTCGGGAAGATGATACCCCTCATGATACTGCTACAATGAATTTATCTTACCGACATGTTATTCAACAAAAATTCAAAATTAATAGAAAACATCTATTCACTTGAGCTGAGGTTAACTTGTGCTATGTGACGTGACCTTCATTAATTCGGCAAAAGCGTGAAGCTTTTTGTTCGAGGCAGGGTACAAGCGATTTAGTCTCCCACTCAGAAATCCACGTTCAGACTGTCTTCTTCATGGTGGGGTATAAGGGAATTATTCTCCTGCTCAGAAATCCACGTGCAGACTGTCTTCTTCATGGTGGGGTATAAGGGATTTATTCTCCCGCTCAGAAATTTATTTCCCTCCCAGGCGGTATACATAGATCACTTGAACCAATCGGTCTCATCGCTCTGACATGGAGGTGTGATAAAACAATGTACTGTTCTTATTTATTAACCAAATCCATCCAAAAATCTTGTTCTTACCCAGCGACATCTTCTGTGGATGCCAGTTTTGGATGATATTTTTTTAATACCGTATTCGACATAATAAGCGCCATGCTCTAATAAGCGCCCACGGCGATATTTTCCAATATATTGGCTAGTGAACAATCCCAATTAGCACCCCTTCCGATTGATCAATGTACACAAGACATATTTATTCGTGTATAATACGTGTGTTATATGCATTCTTAATCATGGGCAATTAGATTCTGGAAAAATATATGTCGTATATAAACATTTCAGGCTGTCAGCTTAAACCACGAAATTTACGATCTTTCAACCCTGTTGTTTTTCACCAAAATAATATTCTAATAAGAGCCTCCTATTTGTAATTTTGAGAGCGCCCTGGGCGCTTATTACGTCGAATACAGTAACAGAAATTCATTGACCCTACAGTTTCTGTTAACCGAGTGATTTACAGGAGATGGTCACCTGGGATGGGTTTCTCCTCATCTCGTGGAAGCGTTTCTCATAGTCCAGGATGTACCGGGGAAACAGGGACTTCTCATCGTAGGCAGTCTTCAGCGCTGCAACAACAACACATGGGTGAGATGCTGTTTTGTTTGTTTGTTTGTTGTTTACGCAGCACTCAGCAATATTCCAGCTATATGACGGCGGTCTGTGAATAATCGAGTCAATCCAGTTATTGACATCATGAGCATCAATCCACGCAATTGGGATCGATGACATGCATCAACCGAGTCAGCAAGCCTGACCACCCGATCCCATTGGTTGCCTCTTACAACAAGCATAGTCGCCTTTTACGACAAGCATGGGTTGCTGAAGACCTATTGTACCCCCCCCTTCACGGGTAGGTAAGATGCTGGAATCGGCTCTGAGGCTAACTTTTGTTTGTTGTTTGTTGTTTTAAATCACAGGCAGGCCCCCTCCAGCTGCCTGCAAAACATCAAGTCTGGACCAGGCAAACAAGTGGTTGATATCATGAGCATTTATTATCATTATTCCAACTATATCACAGCTGCCTGTAATTGAGTCTTGATTTGAAAAACCAGTGATTGATATTATGAGCAACGATCCATGCTGTTGTGATGACACGCAGTCAACCAAATCACAGATCCTGAATTCTAATCCATTTTATTGTCTCTTGCAGCAAACAATTGAGAGCCTAAACCCAGACACTTCTTTGAGGGTGCGTGTGTCTGGATGTGTGTGTGTTTGTGTGTGTGGATGTGTGTGCGTGCGTGCATATGTGGGTGTGTGTTTGTGTGTGTGGATGTGGGTGGATCGGTGTGTGCGTGCGTGCGTGCGTGTGGATGGTTGGGTGTGTGGATGGGTGAGGGGATGGGTGGGTGGATCGATGTGTGTGTGTGTGTGTGTGTGTGTGTGTGTGTGTGTGTGTGTGTGTGTGCGTGTGGATGGTTGGGTGTGTGGATGGGTGAGGGGATGGGTGGGTGGATCGGTGTGTGGTGTGTGTGTGTGTGTGTGTGTGTGTGTGTGTGCGTGCGTGCGTGTGTGTGTGTGCGTGCGTGTGTGGATGGTTGGGTGTGTGGATGGGTGAGGGGATGGGTGAGTGGATCGGTGTGTGGTGTGTGTGTGTGTGTGTGTGTGTGTGTGTGTGTGTGTGTGTGTGTGTGTGTGTGTGTGTGTGTGTGTGCGTGTGTCGATGGTTGGGTGTGTGGATGGGTGAGGGGATGGGTGGGTGGATCGGTGTGTGGTGTGTGTGTGTGTGTGCGTGCGTGTGTGGATGGTTGGGTGTGTGGATGGGTGAGGGGATGGGTGGGTGGATCGGTGTGTGGTGTGTGGATGTGTGTGTCTGTGTGTCTGTGTGTGTGTGCGTGTGTGGATGGTTGGGTGTGTGGATGGGTGAGGGGATGGGTGGGTGGATCGGTGTGTGGTGTGTGGTGTGTGGATGTGTGTGTGCGTGTGTGGATGGTTGGGTGTGTGGATGGGTGAGGGGATGGGTGGGTGGATCGGTGTGTGGTGTGTGATGTGTGTGCGTGCGTGTGTGTGGATGGTTGGGTGGGTGGATGGGTGAGGGGATGGGTGGGTGGATCGGTGTGTGGATGTGTGTGGATGTGTGTGCATGCGTGCATGCGTGTGTGGATGGTTGGGTGTGTGGATGGGTGAGGGGATGGGTGGGTGGATCGGTGTGTGGTGTGTGGTGTGTGGATGTGTGTGTGCGTGTGTGGATGGTTGGGTGTGTGGATGGGTGAGGGGATGGGTGGGTGGATCGGTGTGTGGTGTGTGATGTGTGTGCATGCGTGTGTGTGGATGGTTGGGTGGGTGGATGGGTGAGGGGATGGGTGGGTGGATCGGTGTGTGGTGTGTGGTGTGTGTGTGTGTGTGTGTGTGTGTGTGGATGGTTGGGTGTGTGGATGGGTGAGGGGATGGGTGGGTGGATCGGTGTGTGGTGTGTGGATGGTTGGGTGTGTGGATGGGTGGGTGGATCGGTGTGTGGTGTGTGGATGTGTGTGTGTGTGTGCGTGCGTGCGTGCGTGTGTGTGTGCGTGGATGGTTGGGTGTGTGGATGGGTGAGGGGATGGGTGGGTGGATCGGTGTGTGGTGTGTGGATGGTTGGGTGTGTGGATGGGTGAGTGGATCGGTGTGTGGATGTGTGTGTGTGTGTGTGTGTGTGCGTGCGTGTGTGGATGGTTGGGTGTGTGGATGGTTGGGTGTGGATGGGTGAGGGGATGGGTGGGTGGATCGGTGTGTGTGTGTGTGTGTGTGTGTGTGTGTGTGTGCGTGTGTGTGTGGATGGTTGGGTGTGTGGATGGGTGAGGGGATGGGTGGGTGGATCGGTGTGTGGATGTGTGTGCATGCATGTGTGGATGGTTGGGTGTGTGTTTGTGTGTGTGGATGTGGGGGGATCGGTGTGGTGTGTGGATGTGTGTGTGTGCGTGTTGATGGTTGGGTGTGTGGATGGGTGAGGGGATGTGTGCGTGTGTGTGTGGATGGTTGGGTGTGTGGATGGGAGAGGGGATGTGTGCGTGTGTGTGTGGATGGTTGGGTGTGTGGATGGGTGAGGGGATGTGTGCGTGTGTGTGTGGATGGTTGGGTGTGGGGATGGGAAAGGGGATGTGTGCGTGTGTGTGTGGATGGTTGGGTGTGTGGATGGGTGAGGGGATGTGTGCGTGTGTGTGTGGATGGTTGGGTGTGGGGATGGGAGAGGGGATGTGTGCGTTAGTGTGTGGATGGTTGGGTGTGTGGATGGGTGAGAGGATGTGTGCGTGTGTGTGTGGATGGTTGGGTGTGGGGATGGGAGAGGGGATGTGTGCGTGTGTGTGTGGATGGTTGGGTGTGTGGATGGGTGAGGGGATGTGTGCGTGTGTGTGTGGATGGTTGGGTGTTGGGATGGGAGAGGGGATGTGTGCGTGTGTGTGTGGATGGTTGGGTGTGTGGATGGGTGAGGGGATGTGTGCGTGTGTGTGTGGATGGTTGGGTGTGGGGATGGGTGAGGGGATGGGTGGGTGGATCGGTGTGTGTGATGATGATGCTCCAAGTGCACTGAGACAGGCTGGCACACTTCAGCCAAGACAGAGTCTTGATTTATTTAACACAAAACTCATTAAGGCAGAAATCAAATTTGCTCAAATTAAGAACCGTCAGTGCTTCCTAAACGTGGAGGCAGCTAATCAAGTCTGAGACTAGGCATTACACACGCCGATCACGCAGCATGCACACAGGCGGGAGCACAAACCAGACACTTCTATTAGCGGAATGACATGAAGAACTCATTACCAGATCAGCATGTACAGAATCTACACAGGCACACTAAGAACAAGGTTATCACTGCCACAACAGCAACACAACAGTGACACAACTGCAACACAACAGCAGCACAACTGCAGCCTAACAGCGACACAACTACAACACAACAGCAGCACAACAGCAACACAACGTAACAGCGACACAACAGTGACACAACCACAACACAATGGTGACACAACAGCAACACAATGGTGACACAACCAAAACACAACAGCGACACAACCAAAACACAACAGCAACTGAAGAATGACACAACAGTGACACAACCACAACACAACTGCAGCCTAACAGTGACACAACTACAACACAACAGCAGCACAACAGCAACACAACGGAACAGCGACACAACAGTGACACAACCACAACACAATGGTGACACAACAGCAACACAACAGTGACACAACCACAACACAACAGTGACACAACCACAACACAATGGTGACACAACAGCAACACAACAGCGACACAACCACAACACAACTGCAGCCTAACAGCGACACAACCGCAACACAACTGCAGCCTAACAGCGACACAACCGCAACACAACTGCAGCCTAAAAGCGACACAACCGCAACACAACTGCAGCCTAACAGCGACACAACCGCAACACAACAGCGACACAACCACAACAGAACAGTGTCACAACAGCAACACAACTGCAGTCCAACAGCGACACAACAGTGACACAACCACAACACAACTGCAACAGCGACACAACAGTGACACAACCACAACACAACTGCAACAGTGACACAACCACAACACAACTGCAACAGCGACACAACAGTGACACAACACAACTGCAACAGCGACACAACAGTGACACAACCACAACACAACTGCAACAGCGACACAACAGCGACACAACAGCAACACAACAGCAACACCGGGGAACTCCACTGGCTCCCTGTTTCAGCTCCCATTGAATACAAGAAAATTCTCACTGCATACAAATGTTTCAACAACATTGCCCCGAAATATCTCACTGAACTCTTACCACTCAACTCTCCACAGAGAACTCTCCGATCTCAACTATTTTCTATTCCAAAAATCAGAACATCCACATTTGGCAAAAGAACCTCCTAATTCAGCAGCGATTCTATGGAACTCCCTTCCAGATAATGTGAAATTATCTCCTTCAATCCCTGCTCTTTGAGCCCACTTCAAAACCCACTTTTTTAACAAACACTGTCAATCCTAAGTTTTGTGCCCTTTATGAGATAATTATAAATTATTAATACAAGCATTAACAAGGGCAAAAGTGAGCGTGGCTCACTAATACCCCCGACCCGCCAAGTGTAGTTTCAAATTAAATAATGGATACAGTTAGGGTTTGAAAAATTCACAAATTTAATAAAAACAATTTTTTTCTTTTGACTGCACCCCTCCATATGACACAGATTATATGTACTAAGTTTGAGATGAATCCACTGAATAGTTTAAGAGACATCACAGGGACAAAGTTTTAGGACGGACAGATGGACGGAACCTTGGTATAGCCATATACCTTTTAGGTCGGGGGTATAATAACGCCATGTGTTACTTCACCCACATACAGTCTGCGACTAGTCCAAAGCCAGAGTCAAGTATAATTCTATTCGGTCCAGTAAACTCAGCTTATAATAGTCCATAGAATAAGACTAGAATCAACAGGAAAAAGATGTTAAGAGCTATGTTTGGGCGAGCAGTCTTGAATGTTTTTGGCCCAGAATGCACTTGTTGGTCTACTAGACAAAGAGCAGGACCAGTAGACAGTGTTCGAGATTTGAGGTCTCCTAAGGTTTTTGAGGTGAGGTGAGGTGAAATGGGGTTTAACGTCGCGTCCAAGATTTTTGCACTTATATAGTGACGTGCATGTATGTGTGTGTGTTTGTGTGGCTGCTTGTACTAGTCCGGACTGATGCCGATTTATAGTGCTAGCTCACTGAGATACCATGCCGCAGTTTAACATGAATACCCCACTCAGACACAGTATACTGACTCCGAGCCGACCAGTCCTTGTTTTAGCCCCTTAATGCCGAGCGCCAGACAGGGTAACAACAAGTACCATCTTTTAACGTCTTTTGGTATGACGCGGCCGGGGATCGAACCCCGGACCTTCCGCTCTCCGGGCGGACGCTCTACCACTAGACCACGAGGCGGTCTAAGGTTTTGGAATCTAGTCTACTTACTGTCAGCTAACTCCGGGAGTTTGGGGATGAGGTCGGAGCTGCCGGGTCTCTCCTGGAAGTACTTCTCAGCATCAGGTTTGACCAGTGGGCGAACATCATCCAACTCCTTCGTCTCCAAGGCCTGCACACAGAGAGAGTGGGAGAGTGAGTGAGTGAGTGAGTGAGTGACCTTTTGTATCCCAGTATCCCCACAATTCAAACCAATAAAGTTATTGTTTTCTTATCACCTACCAATCCAAATTAAACTTTTAAGATGATCAGAAAAATCCGGTACAAAATGCATTTTGTTAAAAAATATCACCTACCTACCAACTTTTTCACTAACAAAATCTGTAAATCAATGTCTTGCCTAATCTGCCCAATCATAGAACTTGAATGTAATCAAGAGTGAGTGAGTGAGTATGGTTTTATTTTTTTTTAAAATGACACAGCTACAGCTTTAGAACTTGCACTGGTCCTTTAGTCCTTGCCAAAAAGTCAGAAATGATAGAGTGGGTGAGTATGGTTTTACGCCACTTTTAGCAATATTCCAGCAATATCACGGCAGCGGACACCAGAAATGGGCTTCACACATTGTACCCATGTCGGGAATCGAACCCGGATCTTCGGCCTGACGAGTGAACGCTTAAACCACTAGGCTACCCAACCGCCCGAATATAATCAAGATCTATGAGTTCTGCCAGGCTTGATTGGGTTTTAACGTGATCGCACAATACCAGCTGTGTCACGAGCTGTGAGCTACAGAAATGAATGTTGTCAGGTTTTATTGATGATGCATTAGGGATAAATAAATGTCTGATGCAATTTCCAATAGCTATTGTGAATTTTTTTCAGGTGAAGATTTTTTTTGTGATGGGTGCCAACACCGGCTGTCAACACTGAATAAATTGTAAATAGATTTTGCTTTTTGAACACATTTCTTATGAATGTGAAAAATTATTACCGTATTCGACGTAGAAATAGGGGGCTTTTATTAGAATATCATTTTGGTGAAAAAAATGGTGAGTTGAAAGGTCGTAAATTTCGTGGTTTGTGCTGACAGCCTGAATGTTTACATACCTTTCCATACGACAGATATATTTTTCCAGAATTTAACTGCCCATGATTAAGAGTGCATATAACACATGAGTGCGCATTATACGCGAATAAATAAGTCTTGTGTACATTGATCAATCGGAAGGGGTCTAATTGGGATTGTGCACTAGCCTATATAAGCAAATATCGCAGCGGGCGCTTAATAGAGTGGGGCGCTTATTACGTCGAATGCAGTATTATTATTATCATCATTATTATTATTATTATTATTATTATTATTATTATTTACAGATTAAAATAAGAAATGAAGCAAAGAGGGTCTGGGTGATCCTGGCACAGTCTGGTGAGGCTCATCATCAGCTCAGGGCCCTCAATGCCCCCTTGCCCAAATTTGATCCTTGAAATTGAATTTCATGAAAATAAGTTGAAATTTTAAGAAATTAACTTTAAATTATTTTATTTTTTTAAATAACAAAAAAACCAAAATGGCTCCAAAGGGCTTCCGTATATCTGTGAAGCATGGGTTAAGAAAAAGATCAACAATACATTTTTTCAGGGATTGTTTGACAATCCTGCCTGCCCCCTGTGTGTAATTCACCAGTAAGCATGACTGACACTAGTCTGTCTTGCAAACCCTGATACAAATATATATCAAATACAGCCCATGCAAGTCTATAATGTTTGGCAAGTCTAGATCACTGCAGTATCTGAAAATGAAGAGAGTCACTGGGCTCCTTTTTATTATATTTTTATTAAGATAACTGAACAACTGGTTTTTTTCTGTACGATATGTTCATTTCAGAGACTAGATGTTAGTCTAGACTGACACGACAACATGAGATTGAGCTGACTCAGCAATATGACACAGATACATGTCAAATGCAGTGTTGCACAAACTCTCACATTACAACACAGCTCAAGGCCTGCGACCTCATGAATATCCCGGTTAAAATACTAGGTCTTCAGCAACCCATGCTTGCCGTAAAAGGCGACTATGCTTGTCGTAAAAGGCGACTAACGGGATCGGGTGGTCAGGCTCGCTGACTTGGTTGATGCATGTCATCGATCCCAATTGCGTGAATCGATGCTCATGATGTCAATCACTTGATTGTTTGGTCCAGACTCGATTATTTACATTATTATCAAAAGTCTTCTCTGACAGAAGGGGCGGTCGGGTAGCCTAGTGGTTAAAGCGTTTGCTTGTCACACCGAAGACCCGGGTTCGATTCCCGACATGGGTACAATGTGTGAAGCCCATTTCTGGTGTCCACTAACGTGATATTGCTGGAATATTGCTAAAAGCGGCGTAAAACCACACTCACTCACTCACTCACTCACTCACTCACTCACTTATTTCTGTAAAGACAATCATCTCCAAAGAAAATAATTGGCACATTTTTCTGTAAAACAAACCAAAAAATCATTCAAGTACATAATTTTATATTAGTTTATATTGCAATATATCAAAACTGAATTAAAAATAAAAAAATAATTCATCTTAAAATAAAGAATATTGATGTTTCTATCTATTTCAACGTATCTAAAATTGATTGTCAGTGAAAATTCTTAAACATTAGAATAATAAAATGGCCCTTGTCTTGCTGATACTAAACAACTCCGAAGTTTTACATCAAAATACATCACCGACTTCCAAATTTCAGAATGTGCATCCATAAATAAATCAACAGTGATATTTTTCTTCTCTTTAACCAATATCAACAACTTGCATGCAATTTTTGTCTGTACGACAAAATCGAGGTGAAATCTTCATTTAAACAAACATTTCAAACGGCTTCCTCAAGCCATGTCAACAGACGATGTGTTGTCACTGGCCGGGCTAAACACTGCACTATATCCATGTTCTGGCCTGAAGTGGAATAAGAAGGGCCCTGAATCTGTATGAAGTTGGAAGTGCTCCTCAGCCTCCACTTTAATGTGTGTTGTTGGACTGCAGGAAGTTGGACCAGTCCATTATGGCAATTAGGGGTGGGTGGGTTTAATTTCAGTTCAGAGAATGAACGAGTGCGATTTATAGGGTCAAGATGTTAATTTGAATGCGACAAAAGACAGCTGATATTTTACAAAATATTTTGTTAAAAACACACCAGAAAAATATATTTAAAACATTATTTTTATGACACTCAGGACGGAATATTTGGATATCTATACATGAACTAGTGTGATTTACAGAATCAAGATGTTAATTTGAATGCGACAAAAGACAGCTAATATTTTACACAGTATTTTGTAAAAAACAAACCAGAAAAGTATATTTAAAACATTACTTTTATGACACTCAGGACAGAATATTTGGATATCTATACATGAAGATTCTGGAAAAATATGTTCACAGTCATTAAATTCTGATTACAATGTGCTGAAGTCTTAGCCTCCTTGTCAACTTTTTTTTTTATTGAGTGAGTGAGTATGGTTTTACGCCGCTTTTAGCAATATTCCAACAATATCACGGCGGGGGACGCCAGAAATGGGCTTCACATATTGTACCCATGTCAGGAATCAAACCCGGGACCTCGGCAGGACGAGCGAACGCTTTAACCACTCGGCTACCCGACCGCCCATATTTTTATATTTTTTTTAGGCTAGAAGGGGCAGTGCGGTAGCCTAGTGGTTATAGCGTTTGCTCGCCACGTCAAAAACCTGGGTTTTATTCCCCACATGGGTACAATGCGAAGCCCATTTCTGGTGACCCTGCCATACATTGCTGAAATATTGGTTAAAGCAGCTGAAACCACACTCACTCACTCAAGGCTAGACTTAAATAATGCCTCCATAACTAAACCTCACTGGGGTTTGATAGGGCGGCCGGGTAGCCTAGATGTTAAAGCGTTCGCTCGTCACGCCAAACACCCGGGTTTGATGCCCACATGGGCAAAATGTGTGAAGCCCATTTCTGGTGTTCTCTGCTGTGATATTGCTGGAATATTGCTCAAAGCAGCGTAAAACCATACTCACTCACTCACTCAAGTTTGATAATTTGGTATAATGAGATCATGACGAAAGCCCAACGATGGGCTCGATTTAATCTTGTTTGTTGTTTAATGCCGCACTCAGCAATATTCCAGCTATATGACGGCGGTCTGTAAGTAATTGAGTCTCGACAAGACAATCCAGTGATTGACATCATGAGCATCGATCCACGCAATTGAGATTGATGACATGCATCAACCAAGTCAGAAAGCCTGACCACCCGATCCCGTTAGTTGCCTCTTACGACAAACATAGTCGCCTTTTACAGCAAACACGGGTTGCTGAAGACCTATTCTACCCCGGATCTTCACGGGTCTCTAAATTGCACCAGGTGCATGTTGACATGAAAACCTAGTTGCACCAAACAAAACCGGAGAAATGAAACGTTGATGTATGAACTAGTCTAAATAAGTACAATCCCAGATCGCTCATTACACAAAACACAGCAATTAGTGATGAATGGTAACTAGTCAATGAGTATGGTCTTAAGCCACTTTTAGCAATATTCCAGCACGGCGGGGGACACCAGGAAATGGGCTGCACACATCCTACCATGTTGGGAATCGAACCTGGGTCGTCGGCGTGACGAGCAAACGCTTTGACCACTAGGCTTCCCGACCACCCCTGCAAGACTCAGAAAACAGAATAGTTGACCTCATTTGTAGTAATCACCCCGAGGCAAGAGAGTTAACTGACTTTAATAGTCCAGTTTCCACCCTTGCCGAACTAGGCTGGAATTCCTGGGCTCGATCATAGCGCCACCAGTGGCTATTACGAGTAATGTCCCTTCCGAGCCTCTCCTATTGACCAATCAGATTCAACCTCTCATATCACTAGCATTTGCTTAAACAAAACGGTGGCGCCCAGTCAAGACGATCTGATCGATAATCAAGATCTATATTGTGATCAAACGAGTCTTACATCGCAAAGTGCATCAAATCACGTGAGCACCTTGATTAAAAACATGAAAAGATATAGAAAATATTTGTTGACAACGAGTTAGCGGTGCACATGCTTTGCAAATCCTGCAGTCGACCAAACTATGCATGATACTCTACGAACCGGATTTCGATTTCGGTGCGCGATTTTGATTGGACT